CCTGCTCTCTGGGTCCTTGCCGCAGGACAGAAATGCAGAAAGGCAATTTTTTTCCCCTCGAACTGAATTCTAGGAGGAGTCTGTGATGTCCCTCGCTCTGAGGTTGTTTAACATGCAGTGGGAGTATTTTCGTCATGGCGTTGGGGGCAGATGGAGGAGCGGCTCTCACAGCAGCTGCTCGTACTTGTCTCTGTGGAAGGGAGAGGCTGTCTGAGACCTGCGGGTGTCTCAGGGCATCACAGGCGCTACAGGTGGGGTCGTGTTGTAGATTAAGAAGATTTAAACCTTTGGAGGAATTTCTTCGTTGCTTTTATTCCATTTCATTGAATGGGATTCTCCTTAAAGTTCTGTTAGCGAAGAAGAGCATTTTTGGCACAAAAAGGGTAACGCACCCGCCTCTTCATCACTCCTTCCTTCATTCGCGCAAGCACGGAGCGCGCAGTGTGTGTGGCAGGCTTCGCACTGAGGGCTGCGTAGTGGTGGTGAGCAGGACCTGGGCCTGTCCACCAGGAGCCTGTGGCCCATCCGGGCTTGTGAGTCCCTCTCTCGGTAATTCCCACCTGCCTCCGGGAGTGGGCATCGTCCCGTTCTGCTTCCCTGCTCGGACCCGCCCCTGCTGCCTGCTTCCTTCCTCAAGACGGGAAACGAGAACAACTGTCTTCCTTCACGGGGCCGAGCCTGTGTCTCAGGTCCCCTGGTTTGTGTTTTAAGTGTTTCGTCCCTTCACTAGTATTTAAGAGCCTGTTTTGTGCTGGACCTTGTCAAGCTTTTTTTTTTTTAAACAATTTTTTAAAAATCCCTTTTAGGGGCATTTTCTCTCATTCTTGAAGTTTAGCAGTGGTAAAATATAATTTCCCAAGAAGAGTGTCGACAAAAGAAGAAGCTGGCATGGGATGCGGCGTCACAGCCCTGAGGAGTCTGAGCGGAGCCCGGGGTGGTTTGTCACGTCGCTGAGTCAAAGCTAGCGTCATTTCTCCATCGCTTTTGTCAGGGTGTTTCACTAGTGTCATTTCCCCATCGTATTTATCTGGCAAAAAATAACTTAAGGAGATGATAACAATTGCATTTGGAAAATGTCCTGGAACTTTTAGTTTTCCTGAAAGAGATTTGTTGCTGTAAGATGTGTTCACTGGTTTATTTCAGTGAATAAACCGACGACTTGAGGATGGAGCAAGAAGACCTCCTGAGACACGTGTTGTCGTCCTACCTCTTGGCGCACAGTTGGGGCTGGTTAGAAAGTTGCTGAGTCAGCGAGACCGAAGGTGGGAGGTGGCGGGTCCCCGACTTCCAGCGCCCGCCCGGGGTTCATTGTTTTACTGGGTTAGGCTGAAATTCTCTCTTCTGACGTCTAGGAAATGGGTCAGTTTTATGTTTAAATATGAACATCAGAGGGTTAACATGCTTCACAAGGATTAGACTGCCAGGCAGAAACGTGTTCTTAAACCAGAAACACAGCCGTGAGACGGACAAGAAATTTATTTGTTGTAGAAAATTTGCAAACTGTGGAAAAGCACATAGTGGAAAATACCACTCGTTCACAGTGGCCCAGAGGCACCCACTGCTAATGTTTGCTCTGCGTGTTTGTGAAGAAAGGGACTAAATGATCAACGACAAGGTTTTTTTTTTTTATTGCCATAAAGTGTACATAACGTTGGCCATCCTAACCATTTTCAAGTGTAGACTTCAGTAACCTTAAGCACAGTCACATTGTTGTCAGCCACCACCATCCCCGTCTCGGTCTCCAGAACTCTTCATCTTCCCAGACTGGGACTCTGTCCCCACTCCACACTCACTCCCCTGTCTGCTTCCTATTTCTGTGCGTCTGACGCCTCTTGGTCCCTCATGTGAGAGGAATCTACAGGGTGTGTCCTTTGGTGTGGGACGGCCCCTGCCCAGCCTCACGCCACGCCCACCCTGACCGACAGGGAGACGCCCCCCTCCCTGCCATCTCCTGTGGCCCCATGTGCCTCTGCTGCCTCTGCACGGGGGACAGTGTGTGTGTGGGGGTCCTCCATCCCTCCATCGCCTCTCCACCAAAAGGCACCACCTCCCCCAAGACCAGCCTCTGATCCAGTGTTTATTCAGCTCTAAGGTGACTCCACTTCAAATGCCTGCATTCCCCAAGGGCTCCTTTTAAAATACGGAAGGCACATGTGACGTAGTTGCTTTGGCTGGAGTGTTGGGTGGAGTGGTCGTGAAGGGACCGGGCACACATCCACTCCACAGCCTGTCAGGGCTGGAGCTTCGGTGCGTGTGGTGTTGCCACGTTGTCCCTCGCAGGTAGAAGAGATGCAGCTCTGGAACAGGAGAGGAGCCACCCCTGGCCGTGGGTTCCCCCGGAGCAGGCTGGGGTGCTGGCAGAGGGAGTGAGGTCGGCTCACGCTGACCTTGTGACGCTGTTTCCCCTTGTCTCTTCTTGTGCTCACGCCCTCACCTCTTCTCGAGGAGTCCCTGTGGGCCCTGAGGGTCCAGGTCTCTCTGTTCTGAGAGCGAGTCCCCCGTGTAAGTGCAGGAGCGTGACTCAGCTCACGCAGAGCGTCTCCTGGGGAACAGGCCTGACCTTCTGTGATTTGTCTGGAGCGCCCATTCAGTGTGGCCTCTTAAGACACAGGGCGGTGTGCAGGCTCCAGTCCTCCTGCCGCCAGCATGTGGGCAATGTGAGAGAAGAGGCTCCAGCTACCCCTGATGCTCCCTGCAGCTTGGCGCTGCCGCCCGCCTGCAGCACGCTGGCTGTTGTCCCCCGAGTGCTGCTACTTTGCTCCAGGGCGGCCTTCTGTCTCCCAGGACGATAGATGGCGTCCATCGATCTGCCTCTTTGTGGGCAAAGCGTTTGGGCATATAGGATCTGTCCCTGTGGATGACTCCCCAAGACAGGCTGTCTCAGATGCCCTCTGAATCCTGAAGTCAGTCCTGGAGTGTCCCCCTCTCAGAGCACCCTTAACTTGCACTCCACCTGCACCCTCCACCTACACCCTCTACCTGTACCTTCCACCTGCACCCCACCTACACCCTCTACCTGCACCCTCCGCCTGCACCCTCCACCTGTACCCTCCACCTACACCCTCCACCTGTACCCTCAACCTGCACCCCACCTGTACCCTCCACCTGCACCCTCCACCTGCACCCCACCTACATCCTCTACCTGCACCCTCCACCTGCACCCTCCACCTGCACCCTCCACCTGCACCCCACCTGTACCCTCCACCTGCACCCCACCTACACCCTCTACCTGCACCCTCCGCCTGCACCCTCCACCTGTACCCTCCACCTACACCCTCCACCTGCACCCTCAACCTGCACCCCACCTGTACCCTCCACCTGCACCCTCCACCTGCACCCCACCTACACCCTCTACCTGCACCCTCCACCTGTACCCTCCACGTGTACCCTCCACCTACACCCTCTACCTGCACCTTCCACCTGCACCCCACCTACACCTTCTACCTGCACCCTCCGCCTGCACCCTCCACCTGTACCCTCCGCCTACACCCTCCACCTGCACCCCACCTGTACCCTCCACCTCCACCCTCTACCTGCACCCTACAGGTTTCTTACCTGGTGAAGTGGGGACAGGACCTGGTGGTTCCAAGGGGGTGGGACCAGGTGGTTCCAGGGGATGAGACCAGGAGGTGCCAGAGGACGGAACTGGGAGGGCCAGAAGAAAGGGTCTGGCTTGGGCAGGGGTTGGTGAGGTCCCTCTGCCTTCTGGGTGGGGAAGTATTTTGCAGGTGACAGAAGAAGGAACCCGGGGTGGGGTGTGGGGATGCTGGGGGCTTGAGCAAAAGACGTTAGGTGTTTAAGTTGGTTGAACTCCCTTCCACTGCAGGCTCCTTTTTTCCCATTTTTCCCTTTCCCTTTTCTCTTTGGCCACCCGGACAAATCGTTTGGCCCTGAAGGTGAGCGTTTCTGCCCGTTGGTCCAGCGAGGAGTTTCAGGGCCCTGCAGTGTTCTGTGGTGACTCCTTTCACAGACTCACAGGGTAGGCGCTTCTCTGCGTGGGAGAAGCACCTGCCACAGCTCTCATTTCGTACTTTTCCCTTATTTACTGTCCAGTGTGAAATTAGCACGGAGGAAACAGGGTGAGGTGGTTTGTTTTTGACGGCGTCACGTGCCGCACGGTGCCTCCCGGGACCCGCTTATCTCCTAACCGCAGGTTTGTGCCTTTCGACTGCAGTCACCATTTCCTTTTAAACAAAATATTGATAATTTATTTAGTGTTTTTATATGTAATGTACACAAAACACAGGTAGACATAGAGGATTTTACTACCATTTCACAACAATATAATTTCAGGGTTTTTTCCCCCTAAAAAAGTTTTTTAAAGAAAGTCACCGTCTAGTGACTTGGGTTTATGGCACATACAGTGTTTGGGTCCTTAAAAAGTGAATTCAGCTGACTTTTCTTTTTTTCTTTTAAAAGTTCGCATGAGAAGTCTTATTGTTTGTGATGTGAAAGCACTTGTGTCAGCCCATCTTGGCGTCCCCTCCCGCCCTCCCTGGTCTGGAAGAAATGCTCATGACCAGGCGGCGTGAGTAACTCAGGGCCTAGATGCTGCGTGGGGACGGCATGCGGCCTGCCAGGCGGGTGGTAACGCGGATGGAGCCGTTACTGCACGTGAACGGGGACGGCCATGTTACAGGCGCCCTCCGAGGGGTCGGACTTGCCACCACGAGTTCATTTTCTTGATGGATTTCTAAGTCCGTGGTAGAGGTCTTTAAGATGTGGACAGTGTTCCTTCCTTCCTTCCTTCTCTTTCCCTTCCCAAACTGTGAGTTGCAGGTCCCATAAAAGAAAATCAAGGCCACTGACCCAAAAGCCTAAAGACAGGTATTATTTCTTCCCAGTAAAAAGGCCGACCAGCCGCACAGCGGAGGTGACTTGATCAGCTTCCGGCTGCCCAGCCGGGGCCTTGCGTGGCTTCTGCCCTTGCTCAGGGCTGTGGAAGTCATTTTGCTAGTAGTCAATGTTAACGCTGTAATTTATGCTCTCTTAACCCCCAGAAAGCGAAGTGAAATACGACACTAACAACAACGAAGAGGAGGACGGAGAGCTGTTTGATTTTGACAGCGGAGATGAGATTCCAGAAGCAGACAGGCAAGCCCCGGGCGCCCCCACGGAGAGCAACGCAGGAGCCGCCTCCGAGGCCAGTGCTGCCCCTGAAGCCACTGCCGCCACCGGGGCCAATGCCACCGCCGAGGCCAATGCCACCACCGGGGCCAATGCCACCGCTGAGGCCAATGCCACCACCGAGGCCAACGCCAGGGCCGACACCGGCTCAGGTAAGTCCTCGGGTCACCACGGCGCCCAGGCGGCTCCCTGACTCCCTCCCTCGTGCTGCGTGGGACCCTCCTGGGGACAGTGGGTGTCCAGGAGCGAGGGATCTGTGACGTTTCTGTGATGCCGTGGGAACGGAAATGACCTATTTAGATTTGGCCAGGTTTCTTTATCTGTACTGTTTTCCACTGATCTTCAGTCTCGCCGATCTCCCTCTCTGTTTACATTTTGGAGGGAACAGGTGTCGCTATTCTCCAGTAAAAATGGCCTCAGCAGCATATCCCTCTGTTACAGGAAATATTGTTGAAAATGATGCTGTTTGAGTTGCAGTAGTTTGGAGGTGAGGTTGGCTGTCTTCCTTCACTGACCGGGGGGACCAGCCTTGCCTTTCTTTGTAACAAAAGCCTTTCTTCCTAGTTAGTGATTCCTGTCCGTCTGGCGGCTTCTGCCTCACTCGTCTTGTTAGCCGAGCCGTCCTGGGAGCTGCCGGTCCATGGGCACCACCTGCCCCCGGAGGTGGTCCCACCGATGTGCCATTTTCCACCCTTCCCCAGAGGGAGATGCTCCCAGCACGCTCCCCCTAAGGCCCATGGGATCTGGCGTCTCTAGGGTGACCCGGCGTTGCATGGATGGGGGCTCCGGGGGGCTCCCCACGTCCTTGTTGGCTCCGCCCCAGGAGAGCATGCAGGCCGTGCCCTTGATGGCTGTGTTTGCCTCCAGGAGGTGAAAGCGGGTCAGGAACAGACACAGCTGCACCGGTGGAGCCGACTAAACTTGTGGCCCCAACCAGAGTCAACCCCTACTCCGTCATTGACATCACGCCCTTCCAGGAAGACCAGCCCCCACCCCCAGACCCGGAGGCCGAGGACGAGAGTGTGAGCCTGCACGTGCCCAGCGGGTACTCGGTGCCCGTGCCCTGTGGCTATGCCGTGCCCTGCAGCCTGCCCCTGCTCCTGCCGGCCTACTCCAGCCCCGTCATCATCCGTGCCACGTCTCTGGACGAAGAAGGTAGTTCTCCTCCTGTCTCCGTACCACCGCGAGCGCCCCGTCGGCTTCATAAGCCTGTGCCTCCTCTCTCTTCTTGTCTCCCCGGGTCCTTAGATGTCGGTTTTCCAAGTTGGGAAATGAGCCCCGTGACAGGAGCAACAACCAAGGAAAGTATGAGGTGGTTGTTTGCGGTGATGTCCCATCTGGAATGTGTTAGCGCATCTTGTCAGGGAAGATGTGTGTGAACGTCACCCCGCATCCCAGCCTCCCCACCCCCCGGTGCTCCCAAACCTCGTGCATTTTGCCGGCAGGGTGTTTATCACGTTTTATTCCAAATCATGGTTACGTATGTGTGTGCTTTTGTGTGATCTGCTGGTCCGTGAGCTGCAGCCTCTTTGAGGTCAGCCCCTCTGCTGGGGTCTTCGTTCACGGGAACCAAGGGGAGGGACTCAGAAGGCTCTCTGTACCCCCCCCCCCCGCCCCCCGCCGACGTCTTTCTTCTTTGAGAGCAGAGACCTGGGAGGTGTGTAGCCAGCACATTGAGAAGCTGTGCATGGAGGCAAAGTCTGCGAGAATCAGAGTTTTCAGGAAACCAGCCACACACAGGGAGGGGAGGTGCAGGGGTTTACTGGCCTCGCGACAAGGTAGTGTGCCCCCTCCCCTGCTGACCCCACTGCAAAAGCATCAGGAGGAGCCACTGTCCTGGAGCCAGGACCCTGGTGCCCGTGGCTGCGTCCTCGCCTCGGTGTCCTTGATCTATGATGGGCTGTTGGCTTGAGTCACCGCCTTCCCCTCTCTTTAGTGAGAAGGGGCTGACGTGCAGTGTAGAACGATGTGGTTTGAGAAGCTCGCTCTGTCATCTTTACGGATGACACTTGGCACTCTTGTTTTGCTGCCAGCTCTTTTTGCAAAACTTAATTTTTTTAGCCTTGAAAGTACGGTCTGAATGGGCCCCCAGATTCCTGTGTTGAAACCTGACCCCCATGTGATGGCGTTAGGAGGTGGGGCCTTTGGGACGTGGTGAGCTGATAGGGTGGAGCCCCCAGGATGGGATGAGTGCCCTTATAAGAGAGACCCCACAGAGCTCCCTCGACCCCTCCCCCATGTGAGGAGGTAGGGAGAAGATGCCGTCTGAGACGGGAAGACGGCCTCGCCAGAAGGTGACCATGCTGGCACCTGATCTGACTTCCAGCCTCAGTGACTCTGAGCAATTCGTGTCTGTGGTTCATGAGCCCCCGTCTGTGGTGTCCTGTTAGAGCAGCTGGTGTGGACGAAGACAGACATTGTGCAAGAGTTACTGTTCTCCGGGGTGAGGCCGTGGGCACCTGCCGTCGCCCCTGCAGATCCCAGTGCCAAGAGGGCTCCTGAAATACGAGCCGGGCCCTTGCTTGGCAGAGCGCAGCGGGGTCTGCTCGGGAGCAGCCCTCCCGGGCTGTGTTCCTCCTGTTCTCGCCTGAGTCTGTTTCTCTGTCGTCTGTCCCAGGACACCCCGTACGAGATGTTGCCATGGACCAGAGTCGCACCTAGGGCAGTGGCTCTCAGACACGGAATCCTGATTTATCTTTGTGTGAGATCTCAGAAAAAGGGTCTCTCTTTCCCAGTCAGTAACAATTGAGATAAACAGTCTTCTTTCAAGAAAAATGTGGTTTTATGTTTCGGAAACCACAGAGGTTTTAGGGTAGATGTTCTCCCATATGTTTTCCTGTTGTGATTGGCAATCATCCTGGAAATTTACCGCGATCAACAATACTGTTCTTATTCTGTAGCTGTAAAGAGCAAGGACAGTCACAAATAAGGAAGTGTGGATTTAAGGAGATAGTGTGCTTAGGAAAACATACTGATTTTATAGTAATTTGGTTATTTTAAAAAATAAATGGCCAAATAATTAAACTTTTATTTAAAGTGATTTATTTAAAAATAGTTTAGCATTATTTTAAAGACATTTGCTTATTTTTGTGCCATCAACCCAGAGCTGTTAATGAGACTCTAACTAAACCCTGTGGTATGTCCCCAAATCAGGGACAAGCGTGTCCGCGTCTGTCTTTGAGCCTTTGAAGAGAAACAAGGTGGTGGAGAACGTGTGGACTTTGGCGGGAGGCCAGGGGTCGGAGCCCGGACCTGCGCTGTGGCCTGTGGGCAGGGCTGCGGGCTGTGGGGGGCGCACGTCCCAGCCTCCCCTGCACATGGGGCGCCCCACCACAAGTGAGAGGCTGGACATACGGAAACAGTTGGAACCTGTTGTTTTCCCCACTGCCCAAAACCAATTCTGAAAAATGGCTTTGGGGGTCCTGCTTCTGTTTGTTAGGACAGAATGTCCAGGGGCCAGACCCAGGGTGGTCTGCTGCGTGGAGGGAGCTTCTGGTTCCTCCCAGAGCACTGAGAGAGGAGCAGTCACTGTGTCCGGTGCGAGCACTTCCTCCTGAGCTGCTCGTCTTCCGCCCTCTCCTTCTCGAAGGTGTCGTGTGTCAGCAGACGCTGGATCTGGGCCCTGCGGTGGACGGGCGGTGAGAGAAGGCGTGTGCTGTGCGTTTACGGACAGGAGGCCCCTGACGCAGCTGCAGGGAGAACAAGTTGCTGTGGGAGGAGTCTTTGCTGCCCATCAGCAGGTTCCTTCTTCATCGACTTTGTGGAGTGTTTCCGTCTGTCCGGGGTCGTGCAGGTTACTCTTTGGGGCTGTGGAGGACGGTGAAAGAGCAGTCGTTGGAGCGGGCAGGTCTGAGTTCAGATCCTGGCTCTGTGTCTGACCTGCCGTGGTCCTTGGGATGATTGCTAACTTTCAGGGACCTTGAGAACCGCACGGGTTAATGCCTGTGCGCTGCCTGCTGCGCTGCCCGGCACACCCTGCTCTGAGTCACGCGTGTCTGTTATGTAATTCAGTGGGATCCAGACCCCATTCCCGTGGGTGAGATCTCCCAGCTCATTGCAGCCAGCCCAGCTCTCCTGGACGTCGAGTCAGTCGGGGAGCAGTTTGAAAGTGGTCAGGAACGATTGCTTGGCCTAAAATAAATCCCTCTAAAGGGCTTTCTGTGGACAGCTTTGCCCGCGTACCTGTTAACAGCCAGTTGCTAGTTCTGAGCTCATCACTCCGCTTGGTAAACCAGAACCAGAGAAGAAGAGCAGTCAGACTGGACGTGAGACAGACCCTGTGTGTGCATGTGCATGCATGTGAGTGTGTATGTCATTCATATGTGTAAGAGTGTATATGTATGAGGATGTATACATGTGTATGTATGTAAGCGTGCCTGCACTTGTGTGCACGTGTGAATGAGTGTGTAAATGTTTCGTTCTCAAATATCACAAACTTAACTGTTTCTCCCTTGAAACTCTTTTTTTTTTTTTTTTAAAGATTTTATTTTTTTTCCTTTTTCTCCCAAAGCCCCCCAGTACATAGTTGTATATTCTTTGTTGTGGGTCCTTCTAGTTGTGGCATGTGGGATGCTGCCTCAGCGTGGTTTGATGAGTGATGCCATGTCTGCGCCCAGGATTCGAACCAACGAAACACTGGGCCGCCTGCAGCGGAGCGCGCGAACTTAACCACTCGGCCACGGGGCCAGCCCCCCTTGAAACTCTTTTGAGGTTGCCACACAGACACACTTTCAAATAAATCGCACTTGTAAATTAGTATAAAAACTCAAGAAATGGGAGAGAACACGATGTTTCTTTTTAGCTCTGGCTTGGTTGGTTTGGGGACCATTTCGTTTCCGCCTGTTTCATAAGGCCTTTGGATGTTGCTCTTTGGTGTGATCCCATTTTGAATAGATTTTATCTAAAAGCCAAAAAATCTTGAATCTGTCAGTTAGTCCTCTTTATGCTAAGATAAGCCTGTTGATAAGAAAGGAAAATATGAGACCATTTTAAGGATGAAAATCAGCTTCCTAACCACTTTTGTCAGGCATAAAACAATGTGAATCTTTTCTCTCTCCCAGCAGAAACCCAGGAAGTCGCAGAAGACAGCCAGTTTAATTCTCTAAGTTCCGAGGATCCTCCAAACAGGTATCTTTATTCATCTTACACGGCTCCTCTGAGCTCGTGACCTTTTCCTGAAATACCCAGGGTAGTGCTTCCGGGCACTCCCCTGCCCTCCCTCTGCTCGCTGGGGTCTCACTGACCAGCCCCGTCCCGGCCCCTCAGCCTTTCTGTCTCCTGTACACTCTGCCCTGTCGCCCAGGGCCCCCCAAATCAGGTTCTCCCCAACCCCAGGGCTCTGCCAAGTGTCAATGTTCCGTTTGGGAAAAGAGAAGCTGTGAGCCCACAGCCGGACAGAACCGGAAGATGGGTCTGCCTCCTGTGCACACTCAGTATGCCTTAGCATCGAAAAGGTTCTCAGAATCCTTCAGTCGGAAAAAAAAAAAGGGTTTTGATTTTGTCTAACCCAGGTTTCATCTAGAATCCCCCAGCTAATTTGGTCATCAGCCTTTCTTTCATGTTCCTGGCCTTCGCGAATGCGATTTCATCTGCTTCAAATGCCCAGGAAAATCCCATCCCCCAGGCAAACTCCTGCCTACCCTTCAAAACCCAGCTTAAGTGTCTCGTTTCATAAACTCTCCTCATCCATGCTCCCAGAGCTGGGTGTGCACCTGCGTTGTAACTGTCGCTTTGTGCTCTCCTGTGTCCCTTTCTGCTGCTGGACTAAGATTGCTTCAGAGGCAAAGACCAGGGTGACCAAGTCTTAGAGCATCTACCACCGAGCGTGGCAATGTGCTGGGCACCTGGCAGGCGTGTCTGTTCTTTGTCTTTAAGCAGGCTTATGGAGATGTAATTCATCTGTTTAAAGTCTACTGTTCTATGGTTTTTGGTATATCGCATTATTCATTTTAAAATTGTGGTAAAAAATATGTAAATAAAGTTTGTCATTTTTAAGTGTAAGATTCAGTGGCGTTAAATACGTTTGCAGAGTTCTGTAACCATCACCACTGTCTACTTTCCACGCTTTTTCATCTTCCCAGTGGAAACTCCACCTGTTATGTAATCCCCACCATCCCCCTCCCTGAGCCCTGGGTAGCCCCTGTTGTGCATTCTGTCTCTAAGATTTGCCTATTCCAGGTAACTCATGTAATTGGACTCATACAATACTTGTCCTTTTGTGACTGGCTTATTTAACTTAGCATAGTGTCCTCAGGTTCACCCATGTGGTAGCATGTGTCACAGTTTCCTTCCCTTTTAAGGCTGAATGATATTCCATTGCATGCATACAATGTTTTGCTTGTCCATTCATCTATTGATGGGCACCTGGTTTGTTTCCACCGTTTGGCTGTCACGAATAATGCTGCTTTGAACATTGGCGTGCAAGCATCTGTTCAAGTGCCTACGCTCCGTTCCTTTAGCTGTGTAGCTGGGAGTGGAATTGCTAGGTCATATGATAATTCTGTGTCTAACTTTCTGAGGAACAGCCAAACTTGTCCACAGTGGCTGCACCGTTTTACATTCCCACCAGCAATGAACGGGTTTCTCCGTGAGCTCCCCAAACTTGTTTTGGGTTTTTTACAGTTACTGTAGCCATCCTAGTGAATGTGACACGGGGTCTGCACGGGGTCTCATTTGCATTTCCTTGACGAGTAATGATGTTGAGCATCTTTCCCCTGCTTGTTGGTCGTTTGTATGTCATCTTTGGAGAAATGTCACTCAAGTCCTTTGCCCATTTTTGAGTTGGGTTTTTTTGTTGTTGAGTCTTATATAGTCTTATATAGTCTTAATATTAATTTCTTATCAGACGCCTGATTTGTGAATGTTTTCTCCCGTTCTGTGGGTTGTCTTTTTACTCTCTCGATAGTGTCCTTTGATGAACAAAAGTTTTTAATTTTAATGAAGTCGTTTGTCTGTTTTTTTCCTTCATTGTCTGTGCTTGTGGTGTTGTACCCAATGACTCATTGACAAGCCCAGTGTCATGAAGCTGTTTAGCTGTGTGTTCTTCTAAGAGTTCTGTGGTTTCAGCTCCTTGGTTGGTCTAGGTGGTCTACGGTGCGTTCACGCCCTCTGCCTCCTTGTTGGTCCCTGCCTGCTTGTTCTGTCCATTACTGAAAGTGCTCTGTTGAGGTCTCCAGCTATTCTTGGAAAGCTGTCTATTTCTCCCTTCAATTCTCTGCATTTTTGCTTCATGTATTTTGGGGCCCCTTGTTAGTTGCGTGTATGTTTATAATTGTTATAGCTTCTTGCTGTGTTGAACCTTTAATCAATATATAACCTTCTTCTTTGTCTTCTGTAACCTTTTTTGATTTAAAGTCTATTTTGTCTGACTGAGTTTTACCAAGTCTTAGAATATTTACCACCCGGCTTGGCAGTGCGTTTTTATTATTTTTTCCGTTTACTGGACAATTATCGAGTGCCTGCCACGTGCTGGACGTCGGGTAGGACAGTAAGTCCCCCAGTCTTGGTGCTGTTGTCCTTCTTGCCGTTGCAGTGGGGCAGAGGGAGAGTCATGAGATGCTCACACTGATGAGTCGGTGATCACTGTCGGAGATCATGACTCTGAAAGAAGGGAGTGTGGCTCCGTGAGCACCTGTGACCGAAAGACCTCTCCTGGGCTGAGAGGTTGGGTTCTCTCACGGTTTCTCAGGAATAAATGAACGGACGAATGAATTTCCCTAGAAGGTAAACTTCTCATCCTTTTTCTTGCCCTCTCCCCGACTGAACCTTCCTGTCCAGCCTCCCTTCCCGGGACTCCCTCAGGAGGGTCCCCTGGTCCTGGGAGCTCTTTGCCGCTGTTCTTCCCCCTGTCCAGGTTATCATCTCCCTTATCCATCACCTGTCCGTATTTCAAAGCGCGAATCCCCCCAGGTGTGGAATCCTGTCTGTGTTGTACGGACAGAAGGCGGGGACTCTGTCTGTGGGAGGGAGGTGATCGCTTTCCCGCGCCCAGCGTGGCAGCCGGATGGATGGCGTTGCCCCCTGCAGTCTCGATGAAGACCTCAGCTGGGGTGGTGTGGGCCGTGTCACCCAGAGGGCCCGCGCCGGCTCATGCACGTCTGCGGGAGCCCGCCGTCTCCCCAGCGCGGTGTCTGGCTCTGTTCCCCTCCATACCTGGCGGTCAGCTGGAGCAGCCGGCCAGGGGGCCAACTGGGTCCTCTCTCACGAGTCCTTGCCGGGCTGTTGTTTCCACGCTCACGTAGCTTTTCCCTCAGTCCTTAAGGCACCTGGGAAGGTATTAATATCGCCTTATGTGCATTCCTCTAAGAAATGCATAGGTTCTGTGGGGAAAAGTACTCGACAGGCGTTTTCTGCCTGTTTACCCACAGAGTGATGTCGCAAAGCAGATCGACCCAAGACCCTGATTAGAAATTGAAAGTCTGTATGTAACTAAAGATGGACGGATTGTTGTCATTGTAATTAAAACTTACTGCGAAAAATATATCCATTGAAAGGATGATTTTTTTTAGAAGGAAAAGAATATAAAATGAAGTGAGATGGTAACCTCAAATGATTTCCTAAAGTAGGATGTATTTTAAACATATGGGAGCATTCAGGAATAATTTAAAGTACTGTTCACATTTGCTTCAGATTTTCTTTTCTCTTAGTTTTTTGGGTAATTTTCTATTTTGAGATAATTTTAAACTGAAGAGCAAGAATACTGCTTCTTTAAAATCCGTGGTGAGTTCTTTGATTAAGTGCGAGGACCGGTTGCAGCTTGTTTTGTTTCATGTGAGGAGCAGCACGTCGTGTCGTGCATCCTTGAATAGCGGAAGTGTCTGTCATCTGGAAAGTTTCACAACCTTTGCTCTTTTCCCTCTCCCTGAAGTCTTGCAAATATTTCACTGCTCATTAGAGCTTACAGCAAAAAAAATAATAAGAGAGAGTGTCCACTGCCGTGACACCCTCCATCTGTGTCGCTTGCTCTGAAATGTTGCATTGTGTGTCACATAGCTCAGTATTAGTGTTTCTTTTTTATATATACGTCTTCCCATGTTTACGTCTAGATGCTTACCCCAGTTCCGGTCTCTTCCTTCGAGTCGAGGTACACCGCTCTCAGTTTTTCCTTATGAGGTGCTCCCATAGGCGGGAGGTCTGACTCACCTCTGTGCTCGTGTTGTCTGCTGCCCTGCCTCTCACGGGCACGATGCTCTGTTTGTTGAACGATTCAGATCTTGCTATTCTTCTGAAGGAAGCCTTCCGCTGGCTGCCCTGTGCCTGCAGCGGGGCGTCCGGACCCCTGTCTGGAGGGGACTCTGTGGCTTGGCCCCCTGGCCATTGCACTGTGAGCATATCGCTGGTTGAGTCTCGAGCATCCTTTATTTCTGGTGGTCTCATGTCTCTTTCTCTCACTGACCTGTCTCTGGAGGCAAGAAGGCCCCTCTCTCCCTGGGGTGTGTCTGCAGTCTGGCATCGTGGGTGGCACATGACGGGCCCTCAGGACGGTCTGCTGGGAAAAGAGAAGACCATGCAGGCCCTGGAGCAGGGACTCTGTGCCTTCGCATTCCTGGAGTGACTGACAGACACACTGCTGTGCACGGGGTGGGCGTTCAGAGGCACGTCTTTGTGATCAGTTATGAAGGACAATTGGGACTGGATATGTGTTGAGAAGCCAGAGCTGGTGGATTGAATTAAGGATACGCAGATGATTACCTGCTGAATGGGGGGGCACCTGCCACCCCCACAGGGCAGCAGGTGGCTCCCTCAGCATCCGAGCGCCCAGCTGGGGGAAGCGAAACCCATAGGCTTGTTCTGATTGAAGGCACAGTTTCAGTACACTCGCACAAAGGAGGTAGAGTCCAGATTTATTACTCGCAGAGCCCAGAAAGTGGGGGATGGGTAATGAGCCGGGGGAGGGCTGTCCTCCATCCCAGGTCGCGGGCCAGCAGGAGATGGAGCAGGGGAGCAAGCACCTGTTACCTACAAGGTGGTTGGGGCAGAGGTCACTAACTTTTCACAGGCTCAACTCTCAGTGGTCTTTTTTTTTTGGTGAGGAAGATTGGCTCTGAGCTAACATCTGTGCCAGTCTTCCTCTATTTTGTATGTGGGATGCTTCCACAGCATGGCTTGATGAGTGGTGTGTAGGTCTGTGCCCAGGATCCGAACCCGCGACCCCCAGCCGCTGAAGTGGAGCACGTGAACTTAACCACTACACCACCAGGCTGGCCCCTCTCAGTGGTTATTTTAAAAGGGGCTCTGGGAAAAGCAGCAGGAACATGGGGCGGTCATCTGAAGCTCAGGTCCTTATCTCAGGGTGTGAGCAGGGTTTTCAGACTGTGAACTGCTGAGGCAGCAGCTCAGAAAATCTAAAGTTGTTTTTCTCCACACAGTATGTCCCATAACGACGTCTGGGAAAATACACAGTCTGAACTCACAGCGTGTGTGTGCTTTGGGGACATTGAGCAGCCCAGTGACCGAAGGATTCTCAGTATTCTGACTTTATGGTTTGTTTTCTTAAAGTGAAGATCGAGGCCATAAAGAAGACAGCGCCCTCGCCCGATGGGTTGCAGATCCGGCCAATACCGCGTGGATGGAGAGTACGTACCGCCCCCCGCCAGGACTGGACGGGCCGTCCTGGAGTCTTCTCCGCGCTCAGTGTGGGCATTGTCCCCCAAGGGACGGCGTGCTCTGTCAGGCTCTGCTCACTATCCAATGACCTGTGTCATGTCTATAACTTCTAAGATATATTCCTTTACCTGAGTATTAACCAGAGCTGACTGTGGAAGTGCCTCCCCAGGGCTCTCTCTTCCTCTGTCGGTTATTTCCACTCCCTCCAGACAGCACGTATCTCTTCCCGATGGTTCCTTTCTGGCACAGGTTCTGGTTTTTGTCATAAGTCGTAGATTTGGGGAACTGGTCTTCTGACCCCAGCCCACAATGAGCAGGTCACGCCCAGGCATTGACAGAGCCTTCTTTCTTGTGATCCCCCAGTGAGATGCTTCTTTGTGGCACCGTCCTTGAAGATTGGGTGAGTGGTTGGTTAAGCCAACCCGCCGACCAGATGGCATTCTAGACCTTCTAATCCACGTGGTTGAGAAAGCTGAACTAGTTTTAGCTAGACTTGTTTTTTAATTTTTTTTTTTTGAGGAAGATTAGCCCTGAGCTACCATCTGCCTCTAATCCTCCTCTTTTTTGCTGAGGAAGACTGGCCCTGATCTAACATCTGTACCCATCTTCCTCTATTTTATATATGGACACTTGCCACAGCATGGCCTGATGAGCAGTGTTTAGGTCCACACCCAGGATCCAAATTGGTGACTCCAGGCTGCTGAAGTGGGGCACGCAAACTTAACCACTGTGCCACCATACCAGCCCCCTTTTATAATTTTTAAAAGAAAAATAAAGATTGCTTTTCTAGTTGTCCCTTTCTTACCTCCTGGCTCACTAATTTCTGTGCAGTTGTTTTATAGGATTGGCTACAAGGTGGAACCACCTTAGGTATCTCCTGCTTATCAAATTGTCTTCTGAAATGTTTCATTATGGTTTTAATTGTCACATTGTCAAAACAGAGAACTTAGCATAATTAGGTGATTCTGTTAGGAGGCTGTCAAATCAGGGTCGTTACAGGATTAAATTATTGTCTTGCTGTTCTCTAGCAATTTTATTTCCAAGGTGAAATTTTCCTGAATTTCTCCTATTACTCATTTTTGTTCTCCAGATGACAGTTAATTAGATTAAGGGTATTTGAAAGTAAGCTCTGTAAACCCGCAGCCCCTCACCGTTATCTCCAGGGGTGGAAATAGTTGCTTTGCTTGCACTTAATGGATCTTATCCCAAAGAAGCAAGCGTCTGCCCTATGGGAGCTTGACGGCAGCAAGCGAGGAAGGCTGTCCCTCAATGTGCGCTTCCTGGTGACGGGGTGGGGACCAGGGCTCCAGGTCGGAGGAACCCTTGAGCAGCGTTTGTCTCTCTTGCTCTGGCGCGTTGCTGGTGAGCAGCCACTGCTGTGGTTTTCACGCTAAGACGGCGGTGTGCTTGACTCTGAGAGCAGGGCCTCTCGTGCTCAATGAGCTCCAGCTCGGCGCTGCTCGCTCACACCCTGCCTAAAACGGTGCCCTCGAGGGTTTTGCCCTGGGAGGACGCCCTGCTTTTTGTTTTTTTTAAGAAAACTTGTGAGAATTTCAGGGGACACTCACGTTCCACCTAATACAGTTTGAGAGACTTGTCCTAAAATTTCAACGTTTTTATTCTTGCGTGTGCCTGCTGTTCATGCCCAGTGGTGAGGACGTTAGTGGTTTCCCACTTACGTAGCACCGGCCCAGCCGTCCCATTATTTCTGAAACGCTGTGCAACACTTTCGATTTCTTGTTTATCAGAACACGTTAAGTTTATAAACTTAAAAATGTTGATGAAAGAGCCGTATAGAGATGTGTAACTGAACACAAAGTAATGGAACAAATTGTCCTGGAAACCGACAGACTGCCTGTTGCAGATATTTCACAACTGGTCCATTTAGGGGGATAGCTTTCAATCCCAAGAAAACGGCCTACTAAGGATGCTTATGTTTTGGTAAGGTACCGTTAACTGCTCTGGGAACTAACTTTTTGAATAATTATAACATCGTAGGAGACGATGGCCCCGTGAAATGTAAATTGCCCTCTGTTGGTCTCGGTCAATTTTTAAAGTTTCTCCTCCTTTTATTTCAGATCCAGAAGAAGCCATTTACGATGATGTGCCAAGAGAAAATTCAGACTCTGAACCAGGTTTGATTTTGTCTGGAATTGAGTTTTAGGACATTCTGTTTAGCAGTCTTTCCCTCTGGATGTAAAAATGACTAGTTTGTGAAAACATACGCCTTAGATGCACAGCACGTATGTTCTTTTTTTTAATGGATAATTTTAATTTTATTCCTTTATCTATTTTCTAGCATTTCTACATTGAACAGGAATGATTATTATAATAAGAGAAAAATTATTAAAAAAGAATGAACAAAGGAAAAATAAAAATGAGCAAAAATTCATTTTGGGGTCTTACACATCCCCAGGCCTCACCCAGTTATGTTTTAAAATTCAAAACAACTTCATGTTTACAGATCACCGTGATCCATTTAAGAAATGGAATCACAGGATTATGTTTTATTTATCTATATTACAATTAAGCCCATATGTTTTTGGAAGTTTTATAATGTCTCTTTCATAGTACATGGTGGATACTGGTGTGTGCACATATGTGTGTGTGCTGCTTGTATGACAACACTTGAAATAGGGTGATTTAAAGAAGCAGAAAGACTTAAAGACATGAAAAGGTAAGAAACATGGAGGCTAGGAGTACCGGTGTATGTGTAGTAAATGATATAAATGAGAGCACAGAAGAAGGAATTACTAAGAATTTTCTAGAATTAAAGACTATGGTTCTCAGATTGTAGAAAGACAGATTCAGAGCAGAGTCGAGCATCGGTCCGTACCCAGCACGTATCGTGGAGACTGGCGAGCTCCACGTCCACAGTGAGCATCTTAAAAACAACAGGAGAGAAAGCACGATTGTCCACAAGGAAACTGTAACTGGGAAAAAACAGTGGGCTGGGAGACCCCAGGAAATATTCCCAAAGTGCTGACGGGGCATTTCGGCCTAGCTTTCCATATCCAGCGAGAGCATAATCCTTTAGAGAGACACAAAGGCAATGCCAGACGGAGACTGGGGATTTTCCACTCGGACTCATTTCATGTCGTACTTCCAGGAAAGGAGGCTGAAGCTGATGGGAAGCGGGAAAGAGCAGTGAGCACGTAGGTGATGCGTTTGTGAATGAACCTAAAGCTTGTTAGCACAGCACCAGTGGCGTGGCTTCTTCCTAGAGCGTAACTGCAGGAGGAGCCGAAGCGCGAGGCAGTGGTAGCTGTGAACCACCGTTCGGGGTGAGGGCGGCCGGCCCTGAGCCTGCTGGAGTCTGTGCCGTTTTCAGGGGGAGGGTACAGGTACGGATGTTTTTTTCTTACTGTGGTAGGTCAGGTCTGCCTTTTATGGGTAACCAGTAAAAGAAACGAAATAGACTATTTAAACTTCCAAACCAGTAGAGAAAAATGCAATCTGAAAATGTGAAATAAGAAAGCATGGCAAAAAGTGTGAAAAAGATGGCAGAATTAGTTCAAATGTATTGGTACTTACGGTAGATATAAATTGGATCCAATTGCCAGGGAAAGAAATTCTCAGGTTGGATAAAATAGCAAAGCCAGCCGTGGATTCTAATGAGAGATATAGAAGGATACAGAACATTTGTAAGAAAGTGGAGGGAAAAAGATATATAAGGCCATTTCCCATCAAAATATAGCCAGAATAACCATAACAATATATTAAATTTTAGGCCCTAAAACTTGACTAGGTGTAAAGTCCCTCACGAGAGAGAGAGTGATAACAGTTCTAAACTTGCGTGGATCTAACAACGTAGCCTCAGAACACGTAAAGCAAATTATGCCTGAGATAAAATCAGGAATAGTTAAAGGTGTAATTGGAGCGGCAGATTTTAAGGAAGCTCTCTCCACTGTTAGGGATCCTGAATACAAAATTCATAGACTATAGAAGCACGTTATATGATGACCTAAAAGGACATATATAGAACCCTGAAGCGAAGAGTTTCAGAAAGCACATTTTTTAAAAACACATGGAGTAGTATTCCTCAAAGCAAATATTAACTCACGCCAAAGAATTGGTATTTAGGCCTCATTTCTTGATTTAAAAAACCCAATAAAATCGGTAAAGAATTAACACAAACATTTGAAAATTAAAAATAGCGCTACTGCCTAATTCATGGCCAAGGATGAAAACAGAACGGAAATTAGAAAATATTCTGGCTTGAATAATAAAATATTACATAAAAACTTACAGGATAGATTTAAAATAACAAAGATTTATAGATATCATAACATATGTTAAATAAAAGATCAAAAAATAATTAGCTCAGCATCCATCTCAGTTTTACAGAAGAGCAGAATAAACGCAGAGAAAGGAGAGGAAGTAAATAATAATGATAAGAGTAAAAATGACAAGACAGAAAATAAACAAGAGAAGGAATTGGCAAACCAAGGAGCAGTTCTCTGAAGAGAATACAGAAAGAGAAAAAAGAATGCAAAGGTTTCCTTTGGTAATACCAGGAAGAAAGATGCTGTGAGAGAGAGACGGAGGGACGGTGGATCAGGAGGGTGCACCTGCAGTAGAGGTTTACAGAAACCCTAAGAAGATTCTGTGAACAACTTTATATCAAGAGAATTAGACAAAATTTAAAATTTCCTTTACAAGTTGACTGTGTCTGGAATAGAAAGATTAATAAATCTATAATGATTCACTGTATTTAATTAGTTCCTTAACTAATCTGCCAAACAGCCCGATGGGACCCGTGTCGTCCTGTCAGAGACGGCAAACTTCCTGGGCACACGTGGTCGCTCTGTTGTACACGCTGTTCCAGTGGACAGTGGAAGAGACGGGCTGTGCAGCCCACTTAGGAGTTAGTATAAACTTATAACCTCCTTCTCCAGAAAGGCGTGCTGTGAAGGATCCCAAATAAAATGTTAGGAGACGAAATCCTGCAGTATCCCGATGAATGAGCAAAAACCTGAGTCCTTTAGATTTATCTCAGGAGTTCACGGATCCTGCAACGTTAGGTTCTTTTAACGTCATTTCTGCGGAAACAGACCGATGGACGTAAACCGTATGCTCATCTCAATATGTGCTTAAGACGCACGTGATGAAATTCGGTGACCCATCGGTGTTGAAAACTCACAGTAGAAGGAAACTTTCTCAGCTTAATAAAGGGCTTGTTCTTCAAATCCACAGCAGACTTAAATGAATGGTGAAGAGTTAATTTATTCATTCCACAAATACCTTTGGAGGCAGTGACGTCCTGAGCCCTGTTCTGGGCCCAGCTGCCCGAGTCGTCCTGCCCTCAACGTTCCTACGTTGGGGGAGACAAGCACTTACATTTAGGCCTCTTTGTAAATAAAGCTCCCAGGTGCTTATGAATAATAGGCTCCCAGGTAGTTATTTAAATATATGCTGAAAATAAAGTGAGGACTAAAAGCTAGTTTCTGTAGAAACACATTTGAAATTCATTTTTGGGTACTTTATCCTACCAGGTAGGCCTTTCCCAACACAGGAGGGATGGTCTGGGGCCTCAGAAATGAAAACACCAACAGAAGTCTACCAGTAGCCCACCTGCCAACAGTGACAGCAGTTCTGTAAGGACTACACCTTTGGCATTGTATTTGGTGGCATAAACATGTGTTCTTCATGTGTGTGAAGCCATTTAAATAGGGTAATAGATTATTCATAAGTTTTAGCAGGCCAGTTTTAGCACAAAAGCAAAATTTATAGTTTACAGTGAGTTCCGCTTGTGTTTGTATTTGAATATCTCTATCATTTCTCTGTCTCTCCAATCTATCATCTATCTGTCTGTCTCTCCATCATCTCTCTGTCTCTCTGTCGTCTGTCTGTCTTTCTATCTAATCTGTTTATATTGCATACGTTTATCTAAAGAGAAATTTTCCTTCGTGGAAAGGTCTCTATGTCCAAAAAGTTAGTTGGAATAATTGTGGTAGATTCTTAGGGACCAGTGGTCCTCAGGATACAGATGGGGCTGGGGATTTATCAGAGCTTTGTCAAACCCTGCACGTCCCTGCCAGCATCCTGGAGGTCTGCCTGACACCTTTCCATTGGGCACGCCTGAGGCTGGGCACTGCTTCCGCCAGTGGAACGACCAACACGCCCCAAACAATAGCTAGTAAATGCTCTGTTTTTAATTTCCTTTTGGCGTTTATGCATTCAGATGAAATGATTTATGATGATGTTGAGAATGGAGATGAAGGTGGAAACAGCTCTCTGGAATACGGCTGGAGTTCAAGTGAATTTGAAAGTTACGAAGAGCAGAGTGACTCGGAATGCAAGAACGGGGTCCCCAGGTCCTTCTTGCGCAGCAACCACAAGAAGCAAGTATGTGTCCAGTCTGTCTGTTTGAGAGACAGAATGTTCTTACACTGACGTATGAGTGGGACTGTAAAATGAAATTTTCATTCACATGATGTTCAAATAATTATTTTTTAAGATGCTGATATGTGGTTTGAGGAAAGCATAAGATACTGGCAAAAGAAAAAGCATCCCATATTTCAGATAGTAAGTAAAATCGTGGGAGGATGGGAAGTTAAATTCTTATAAACAGGATCCCTCGAAAGATCCTAAGCAAGCTTGCTATCTTGAATATTTTAAGAAAGTAAATAACTATTCTCTGAATTATTTGGTTGTGTACACACAATACCGTTTGTGCACAACAGTTCCTGCTTGCTCTGGACGCTGACTCAATGTATCGGGTCCTCCTGAGACACAGGACAACCTGCTGTCCTTTAAGGGGGGTTTGGACCGTCACCATTTTCAACACAAACAGGAAGGTATAAAAACAGAATAAGTTGTAAGATGATGGTAGAGAACAGAAGCTCCAGAGCCGCCCACGCGTATCCTTCCTGAAAGGGAATTGGTGTGTGTGTGCGCGTGAAACGCACAGATGAGGGTCCAAGGAGAAATGTCAGAGGTTGAAAGTGTGCGTTGTAGAATTGGGCGGCTGCGAGATGAGGACCTGGGAGCCCTTCGTCGGGCGAATCATCCAGGTGAGGTTCCTGGTTCTCAGGGGTGACTGGCTGTGCGTATGCTCTCGTTGTTGGCTTTTGGCTGGCTCTAAAAGGTCGATGTGTAGTAACGTCTGCGGCACGTCAGCGTACTTGTGCACTTTCTCTGTGAGGTTGAGCTGGAGGCCACACGCAGATGGAGGCTGCCGCTCTGACTTTGTTATCAGTGCAGCCTGTGACCTGATGCCTCACCATCACGACAGAATTGGTAAATAACCAACTCTGCCCTGCCTGCACCGAATAACCAGCCCAGTACATCTTGGATGTGGCCCCCATGTACGTACGGCTGACAGGTTATGACGGGTTGTTTAGGTTTCTCATATTCTGTAAACTTGTTTCATGAAACTCAAGCAGAATCTACCAATTTGTGGTGGTCAGCTCAGTTACTCCATATTATGACACGCTTTTCCCAGAATTTCCAGAATATTCGTCAGAATTGTTACAACTGAATCTTAGCCAATAAAAGAAGCTTCAGTTGTACTTGACCTGATACAGCCGAGCCTGACCCTCTGGGTTTAAATTGAGATTTAAAGGGAATGCCTTGGGGTCTGATTTCGGTAGCTGGAGTGTCCACTGGGTGTCTTGGAAGAGTGGTTAAAACACCCTTAAATTTCATGTCAGTCCGCCTGGTTGATTATGGTACAAACTGGGCTGGGCCAAGGTTGGACCCCTGATAAGTCCTTAGCATGATTATTGAACAAAGGCTCTGCCTCCCTGCCCTCCGAATGGACCTGAGTTCCCAGCCAGGCCACCTGGAGTTCCAGTGAGGATGGCTGACGTTAAGCAGCCTTTCGCTGCCAGGAGAAGGGACAAGTGACAGGCCAGCGCACCCAGGCCCGTGAGTGCAGAATGATTAATGAGGGCCAGGAGCGTGCATTTCCGTCTTCCTCCCACACTTGCACGTTGCTAGGGCAACACCCTGGGACCGGGATGGGAATACCAGGTGGCCAGGATAGAAGCACCAAGAAGTACCAAATTTTCTACTTTAAGAAGCCATTTTTTTAAAAAACTATCAAAATAGCACTAAGTTGTTGAAGGGTTGTCTCAAATTTTTATCAAAAATTGTTTAAAGTGTCCTTGTCTCCGTCGACATAGGAAACATGCACTAGAGGAGCAGTGGGCTCAGTCTGCGTATCTGAGATGTTTGTGATTGTGTGACGAAGGATGTACGAGATTTCACCCCATCTCCACCAGTTGGAGAGAAGGTTACGTCAGTTTGGAGATGATTAAAAATCTCTGCTGGGCATCCCCAAATTATGCCACCCTTCAAGACAATCTTGAACTCAAGTATATTTAGCTTTGGTGACATAAAAGAATAATTATATACTTATTGTGCATATTGATCATTTTAATCTCATCAAAATGCAAATGAATGATCTTATGCAGATTTTTTGTGCATTCACTTGCTCTTGGTTGGCACAGAAAAGTCTACAGTCTGACTCATCTGCAATCGCGTCTCTCTTTGATGATATGTTTTACTCTGTATTTGTTTCCCGAGGGTTGGTGGGCTAGGGCGCCCCGGGTGTGTGGTTCCCGGGAGCCGCTTGCAGGAGGAGCTTGGTGTGCGATCGCCAGTCACCAGACGCTGCCCGAGTCCTTTCAGTGTAAGATTGTCTCCAGGTACCAAAAAGAGCGCTTTTGTGAAAGACTGTATCTCTTTATGCTGTAGCTTTCCCATGACCTAGGCCGTTTAAAGGAGCACTATGAGAAAAAGATGAGAGACTTGATGGCAAACACGGTGGGCGCAGTAGAGATCCAGCAGCTAAAGCAAAAACATGAACTGAAGGTAGTGTGGTTCGCTTCTCCACCAGCTACGCCGATCGCGCTTATTCAAAAACAGACCGTTCTTGCCAAAGAAACACGACGGCAACTACGTCGGCCGTTTTTATTGGAACAGTGGTTCTCAAAGTGTGGTCTGGGGGTTCCAGGTGCTCTCAGTGGGTTCGTGTTAATTCTGGGACATTATTTACCATCTCCTCTCTCTCCTGCTCTCACACGTGGACGGAGGAATTGTCCAGAGGCTCCGCCACGTGTGTGGTGTCACGCCCGACGGAGGGCAGCCTCCAGCTGTCTCTGAGCCAGACGCAAGAGACATGGGGAAATGCAAGACAATGCGACCGTTTTTTCGTTTGTTTTGAAAAATTATTAGTTTTTCATAAATGTGTTATCTACGATAACATGTAAGAAGTTTGTTATTCTTAAATGAATATTGATAAAATAGGGTCAAAATTTTTCTCAGCTTTAACTCCTCATCCAGTAAATACAGATAAATAAAACCCAGACAAAGCAGAACTCGTTGGGGTACCTGATGATTTTTACATGTGGGAAGGGCTCCTGAGACCAACAGGTTTGAGAACTGCTGGATTTGAACGCAGTGGTGGTCGGTTCTTGGAGTGGTGTTTTAAAAGGGCACTGTCAAGTAATTTTCACTTCAATTTGATCTTTTGTCCTTGCTATGTTCTGTGATTTGTTCATGTGTGTCGAATGGTGCTTAACTGAAAATAGATGTTTGCCTGGAAATGTCTTCTCTGAGAGTCAGCTGCTTTATCCCAGAGCATTTTTGTGCTGCAGGCTTTTCAAAGCAGGAGCAAGACCCTGGGAACCCCGTCGTTTTGTCCACTTCTGCGTCTGGCTGGCTCCTGTGCAGGCAGCGGGCCAGCCACATGGATGATGTAGGGCCTAATGGGATTTTCGATGGACGCAGAGCTCGGTCACCCGGGGGAGATGTGTGAAGGAGGCCGGACGAAACCTGCGCAGACGCTGGGAGTGGCAGGGGCGAGAGCCCCGTGTTGTAAGCAGTGAGAAATGCGATGGGAAAATAACTCAGGGCTGGCCCAAGCAGCCTCCCTTCCTCTAGTAAGAAAGAGAACTGTCGGAGGAGTCAGGAGCCCTGGCTTCTGTGTCCTGGGCAGCACTGTGAGCTCGGGCAGCCCTCCACCTCCCTGGAACCCAATGTCTTCACGGCCTCGTGTGGAGATGGGGCTTTGCGATCACGCAAGCTCTCTTCCATCCGTCTGTTCTCAGTTCTCTGATTCTCGTTGGAGGGAAGGTGACGGGGGCCAGGCTGAAGACCGAGGCTGAGGTCCAGGCCTGGGATAAGGAAGTGGGATCTGGAAGGACAGTGTCAGGAAGGAAACCAGCTAGAGGCGCCTTGTAGCCATCCAAGCACAGGGCCAGCGAGGCGGCGTGAAGGCGCAGCCGTGGTGGGGAACGGGAGGCGGCCGGTGTTGGCAGGTGCGTCCACAGGATGCGGTCGGTTTAGGTTGAAGGGAGACAGGAGTCCGAGGAGCCAAGAGTGGCTTTGACGTGTCCGACGTGATAGAATAGACCAGTGGTGTGGCTGAGGGAACCGGAGTTGGGGTCCCGGCCGGGGAGAAGGACGTGGTGTGGTTTCGGTGATGTGCCGTAAGGCACTTGGAAATGAAGGACTTGCAGAAACGGTCAGGGCTGGATTCTAAGTGTCTGATGTCGGCCTGGAAGCTTCTCGAGTGTGGATGCTCCCCAGGGGAGTGATGGAGAGCGAACAGTGGACCGCCCGAACCCGCAGGGCACAGCGACAGCATCCAGGGCGGAGTGCGAATTTCGAGCCGGTTGCATGTCAGGCTGGACTGCTTGGCCAGCAGAGCACGGGCCCGGCTTCGGCCCCTGCTGCCCCTCAGCCGGGCGATGCCTTGTCCAAATGTACAGCCAGGCGCGTCCCTGCAGGTCTGGTCCCGCCCGAGGTGCCCCAGCAGGAGAAAGCAGGCCCGCGGAGGGAGGTGGAGGCAGAGGGGTGTGCACAGCGGTGCCGAAACCTCTCCTCTGTCAGGAGGATTTCCAGGAGGACGAGGGCAGCAAGCAGTGTGGACAGGTCACTTTGGAAGGCTCATGCCTTCTCTGTAGAGACCCTCTGGGTTTTCTCCAAAGAAGACTCCCTTGGTGTCCAATGGCCAGTACTCAGGTCTTAGATTTTTAAAGAATTAGAAATGTGAATGAAGTGCGAGAGTGTTCCTGGAAGCTCGTGAGCGCTCACGGCCGGCGTACGTGTTACATCAGGACTCTGGCATGAGGGAACCAGTCACTAAACTCCTCTCCATGGGGAAGTGGTGTTTCTGACTCTCCATCTCTGTGGAGGAGTGGAGGCTGGCTGATTGCTCATACTGGCCATCGGTCTGTCCACTCACCTAACTCCGTCTTGCCATTCGAGTGGGCACGAGCGGCCCGCATTGTGGGCAGGGTCCGTGTGACGCTGGATTGCACCCGGGCGCTGAGGACGGCCCGTGGGGAGTGCCTGGTGTCTCCGGTGAGTGGCTCTGCTGTGTCTCGTGATGTCTGGGAACCGGGACGGTTGTCGAACGTCTGTGGGCCTCGTTTCTGCACCTGCGACTCCACAGAGCTCTTCGTGTCTGTCAGTGGCTAGAATAAAAGTAAGGGCTGGCTTTTGAACGTAGCAGGAAACTTTTTACCTGCGTCAGGGAAGGGCTCTGCTTTTAAAGTTTGTTCTTGCTTTTTGTTTTAACCACCAAAACCAAAACCAAACAGCTCCAAACCGCAGACAAGCTCACAGCAACCATGAGAGCTCTCCCAGGTCAAAAAGCCAATTTCAGACCATGTTTCGAGGCCAAACTACTTGACAGTATTCTTTTAAAATAAATTAAAAGCAAAAAGTAGATTTTTATCCACCTGCTCCACTTCTCGCATTCTCCTTGTTTTTTTTACAGATGCAAAAGCTCGTGAAGGCTGCAAAGGAGGGCACGAAAGACGGGCTTGAGAAGACGAAAGCCGCCGTGAAGAGAGGCCGCTCCTTCATCAGGACCAAGTCTTTCATTTCTCAAGGTCCGTGGCCCCGAGTGGCATGTGGGTGACCCAGCTTTGTGGGTCCTCCTGTCACGGAGCACATTGTGGCGCACGGAGCAGCTCTCACACACCCTCCACAGAGCATCCTCGGCTCCATCGCTGGGGTTGGACCTTGCCCTCCGGCTCGGTCCCCCCGCCCACACGGGGAGGGTTGGCTGCCTGAGGCTGAGGGCCCACACGACTGTGGGCTGGTTGGCAGCCTGTCGAGGGGCGTGTGCAACAAGCAGCAGAAAACTAGGTGCATTCTCATAGGGGCTGGACGTCCCTTCTCTTGTCTCCTCTCTGCGGGTGCCCCTCCTGCCGTCCCAAGGTGGGCTTCATCCTCTGTGCTCCCTTCTGAAATGCCCTCAGGAATCCCGGGACCTCAGTCAGTCTGGGTTCTCAGCAAGTTTGTTCATAATAAAACATGACAGGGGACGACATGGATGACGTGTTGACAGTGCCCTAGCTCTCATAGGTCTGTTTGCTGTCCTGTGAGAACTGAAGTCTTAGGCTAAGAAGGTGATGTTCTGAGCAGGAACCTTTTTGCTGGAGCGGGAAGATTTGGGGTGATTCCAGAATTTTCAAGGTTTCTGAAAAATCTAAGAGGGCAGTAGCCTGTATGGTCTGTATGTCAAAAAGACAGATGGTGTCTGGGCGTGTTCCAAGTTGGCAACAAGGTATAAACCAAGGATGGTTTGACCTCTGAGAACATCTCTGTGCACTGATTTGTTACAGAGTAGCTAGTTGTAGAGGGTGCTGGAAAGTGTGGGGACCGTGACTCTGACTTGGTTCTTTTAAGAACCCGTTTCTTTGCTGTCTGTCTAATGTGCAAACCCAGTGCTCGGTGGAGTGGAGCATTTGCTAATCACTGTACTGGTAAATGGCTTTAAAATCATGTGTTTCCTCAAGGAATGGCCTAGGAAGACTATATGTAATGGGAGTTAAAACTAGCTAGACCATTTTAAGAAATTTTAGTCCTAGTGAAGTCTTCAACCTCTCAAAACAAGACAGAGGAAAGCTTGTCAGGATCCCCAAGCGGCTAACTTGGTGAAGGAGGTGGATATGTGAGTTCTAAAAAAACGCGTGCTGTGATGAGGTGCTGGCGGCATGCCGGGGCCCCCAGAGCAGGAACGCATGCATGGGGAGGCCATGCATCCTGTCCCCTAAAGCTCGGGCAGATTCTGAGAGGGGCAGAGGCTGGGGTTGGGGCCCTAGGAGCTGGTCGGAAATGCTGACTTGGGCCCCATTGCAGACCCGTGACCCGGATCTGCAGGCTGATGAGGCCCCCAGGACCCGGCCCATGGGGCAGGTTGGAAGCCCCAACGGAGGCCAGAGCGAGAGGAGGATCTAAGATGATTTGTCTCTGGGTTAGAGGAGGAGGCCTCTGGGGGATCAGTTGGGGGCTGCAGCAGTTTCTTGGGTGTGTCCCCAAGCCCTCTGACCTTAGTTTCCTAAGCAGTAAGACCGGACTAAATTAGTGTTTCGTGGCCTTGGAGGTATCAAAGAATGAACTGGGAGCTTTTAAAAAGCACCGTGAGCCCAGGCTCCCCACCCCTCGGACCAAGCAGTGAGTCTCCCAGGGAGGGGTGTGGATGGTTCCGTTTTGGTTTTTTTTAGAAAGCTTTATTTTTAAGAGAAGTTTTAGTTCATGACAAAATTGAGGAGGAGCTACAGAGTTTTCCCGTATACTCACTGCCCCACACACGCACACGTTGTAGCAACATCCCCACCAGATGGTGCATCTGTCACAACTGATGAACCTGCACTGACACGTCCTCACCCGGAGGTTTACGCTAGGTTCACTCTCCGTGTTGTACGTTCTGCGGGTTTGGACAAATAGATGATGACATTCAGTATCACATACTTTCACTGCCCTAAAAATCCTCTGTGTTCCACCTGTTCATCCCTTTTTATCCTCAACCCCTGGCAACACTGATCTTTTTACCATCTCCATAGTTTTGCCTTTTCCAGAATGTCACATAGTTGGAATCATGCAGTGTGTGGCCTCATCAGACTGGCTTCCTACACTTAGTCGTATGCATTTAAGTTTCCTCCATGTCTTTTCATGGCTTGGTAGCTCATTTCTTTTTAGCACTGAATAACATTCCACTGTCTGGGATGGACCACAGTTTATTTATCCATCCACCTACTGAAGGACGTCTGGGTTGCTAAAACTGCTGTGAACATCTGTGTGCAGGTTTTTGTGTGGATGTGAGTTTTCAGCTCCTTTGAAATAAACACCAAGTAAATACCGAGGGGTGCGATTGGTGGATTGGATGGTAAGAGGACGTTTAGTTTTATAAGAAACTGCCAAACTGTCTCCAAAGTGACTGCACCCTTCTGCATCCCCACCAGCCATGAGTGAGAGTTGCTGTTGCCCCCCCGTGCCCGCCAGCATCTGCTGTTGTCAGTGTTGCGGATTTTGGCCGCTCTGATAGGCGTGTAGACACCGGTCAGTTTTTAAAGCCCCTCAGATGCCTTTTCGGTGCAGCCAGGGCTTTGGGTCCTGGCTTAGATCATCTCCAGGCTCCCGTTTCCTAAAACTTCCTGTGCTTTTCTGGTTTCCAGATGTTTTGTGGATTTTTAAATTTATTTAGCTGCATCTAAATTTTTAAACCTGAATTTAGTTTTGCTCTAAACTTTCTGACTTGGGGAAGCTGTGCTTGTTCAGATTTCCAGTGAGAGAGGCGGACAGAGAGACGAGAAGTACGTGGTCCCCTTAATGTTCGTCGATTTACTGTGTTGCTTTTCAGCCGCCTTGTCTGTTTCTGATTGTGAGATTTTGTAGGTTAAGAAATTGGAGTAGTTATTTCTGCTTTACCATCTAGGTATTCAAATGACACCTCTGCCTTTTGAAGTTAAACTTCAAGTATTGAAAATTTCAAGTATCGACAGATACTCCTCTCACGGGAAGGATATTTTCTTGGGTTTGTTAAAATTTCAATTGAATCGTCGCTGGGTGGAAAGTAAACATGGAAAATTGAAATGTCTCCCCAAATGTGGATTTGAGAGCTTGTTTCATTGTGCTGTAATGTTTTGAATATATCATTTCGATGTCAAACTGGTGCCTTCTGACTTTCTTTAAGATCACAGATCTGGCCTGGAAGAAGAGCAGAACGTGTTCATTGATGTGGACTGCAGGCACCCGGAAGCCGTCTTGACCCCCATGCCTGAAGGTTTATCTCAGCAGCAGGTAGGCCGTCAGGGCTGGCGGGCACTGTTTCCCGGTGCAGCCGTGCTGGCTGTTAAAACGTTTGGATGTTTACATGGCGGTGAACACCTGCTGTCCCACACTCCCAGCCCCTCCATCCACGCAGGCCCCTCCCCTGGCCTCTCCTGGTCCAGCGATGAGAGGTTAGCATCGGGCACAGCAGGGGCCTTGGGGGCCTGGTCAGCAGCTGTGGCCGGGGCTTGGGCAGTCCGGTCCTTAAATAGTTTGAGTGTCACCCCCAGAGTAAGGGTGAGAAATGTGTGGAACTTACATTCTCTGTGAGAGTTACTTATACTGATTCCTATTGACAGGTGTCTTTACAAAGAGGCAGTGAGTGGGGGGTGTATGAAAAATGCGTGACTCGGATTAAATAGAGATTTCCAACAACTAAGGAAATTATCTGAATATGAATGAATTTCTTAATCTCTGAAAATAGGTAGCAGAGGGAAGAAAATTCAGTAGTTTCCATTAGGTTATCTTTGGGTAAAAGGAAAAGAAAATTCAGGAAGAAGAGCACACTACAGAGTTTGGGCCTTCAGGGGAGGGGTAAGCTCGTTGGGTGGGGTCTGAGTTCTTTCCCACATGGGCAGCAGGATGCAAATCGTGGAGACTGAGATAGATAGGTAGGTAGATAGGTAGATGGATGAAAGACAGATAGATGATAGACATATGAATAGATAGAGATAGATGTAGATGGACGGTGTAGATGGATGGTGGATGGATGATAGATGATGTAGGTAGATGATCGATGTAGATAGGTGCACGCACACATGCATACAACACGCATACATACATATGGAATAGATCAGTAAAGGAAAATCAATGTAAAAACACTTATTGGTAAGCTCAGAGTTTTAAAAAGATGAAGAGCTAAGTTGAAAAGATGCTGTTGATAATCAGTCAGGCTGGACTAGGAAGCTTACCCTTCATTTGAGTTGAAGAGGGAACCCAGAGGGCAGGGTTGAAATTAGTGAGAGAAAAGCAGAGAAGAAGGGAGGGGTTGGGTTTGCTAGCGTGTCGGGGAGGGAGAGGGAGAGTCTGCACGTGAGACGTGGTGGCAGACAGGTATAATAACCACCTGTCGGTCTACGCCCTGTGCCGGCCCCGGGCTGAGTGCTCGGCACGCTTCCTCTCATTGAACCCTCGTGAATCCCCTCCATGTCCGCATACGTGTCACAGAGGAGGACACGGAGGCACTGAGGAGGTTAACATCAGGATGGCATCATGCAGGTGGGCGGGTAGGGCCCAATTTCTGATCTAAATCTCTGGTCCAGAGCTCGAGTTCTCAGCCCTCGCTGTGCTCCCTGGGGTAATGTGGGCTGCGATGCTGGGCAGAAGGGCTAGTGACAGTTTTCTCAGAGACGAAGAAGCTGGCGCTGTCTGCCTGCTCCCCCCCTGCTTGCCGCCTGAGTTTATGGCTCACCCACCTCACTTTAGCCTCAGGAGTTTGAAAAGGGGTATAGATGGCTTGAAAACACTCTTGACGTTACTAGGGTAGCTCCATGGCCCGTTCTTTTGCTGTTTGGGGCTCTGACTTCTTACAGGGTCTCTGTGCTTGTGCTTGGGATGTGGATCCTCTTCTCTGATGACCTGGGGTCGTGGTAGGGGTGTGAAACAGAGCACTTCCGGGCCACGTGGCAAGTGCAGATGAGATGCGGTGGGCGTAGCAGGAGGGCAGCGCGCCGAGGACCGGGGGCTTGTGTGGGCAGCAGGCAGGCTGGCCGCGCAGGGCGGTGAGTGGGGGCTTCAAGGGTCTGTTAGGGACAAGAGTGGACAGGTGTCTGGAGCCTGGAAGGTCTTAACAGATGCACACACCTGCCAGTCTGTTCTGGCCACTCAGAGCTGGGGTGGTGACAGTGAGGGGTCGTGGTGTGGAAAGAGCTCTTCAGAAAGGCGGGGGGCAGGCCCAGTGGTGCAGCGATTAAGTTCGCATGTTCCACTTTGGGGGCCCAGGGTTCGCCGGTTCAGATCCCGGGTGTGGACATCGCACCTCTTGGCAAGCCATGCTGTGGTAGGCGTCCCACATATAAAGTAGAGGAAGATGGGCCTGGATGTGAGCTCAGGGCCAGTCTTCCTCAGCAAAAAGAGGAGACTTGGCGGCAGATTTTAGCTCAGGGCTAATCTTCCTCAAAAAAAAAAAACAAAGAAAAGAAAGGTAGCCGGCAGGTCCCAGGAGCCCCAGGTCCTCCCTTTGCTAGGGGCCTTGGGTTCAGTTAGTTATTATTTCTTTTAGCCCCACTTTCCTTCTCTGAATGGATTATTCCTCCCTGCCTCTGTCCTGCTTATGTCGTGACAGTGAAGATCCAGTGAGCGATGCAGTGGAGGGCCCTGTGGCGTCCCACATGGCACAGTCAGCACTGAGTGCACCATAGCTGGGTCGTGTGTTTCCACCCGGCTTGCTTTCTTACGGTCTTGATTCACATAGATTAGTTTTCCACCTGGCAGCTGTGTGTGTTCTCCATGGGAGTTCTCTCTTGAAAGGTCAAACCAGGGGTGTTAATGCTCTTTAATTTTTTCTCTTCCAAAATTGACATAAGGTAACACAACTGTAACAACAAATGCAGCACGTCAGGCATTCTTTCCATGCTCTGTTTGGGAGAAAAATAATAGAAAGCCCTCTTTGATTTCATGGGTTGTTGTTGACTAGAAATGTACCATTGATGCTAAAGGACAGAGCACCCTGGCCCTCACTCTACTGAGGCCATGCCAGGGTCGGCCTGCTGATGCCCTTCAGCCTCCCTGTCCAGGCACAGGGAACGTGGCCGCCCTCCAGCCTCCCTGGTCCAGGTGCAGGGAAAGCCGCCGCCCTCCAGCCTCCCTGGTCCAGGTGCAGGGAACGTGGCCGCCCTCCAGCCTCCCTGGTCCAGGTGCAGGGAAAGCCGCCGCCCTCTCGCCTGACTTCCTGCAGCAGTCTTAACCTTTGCGCTGATCACTGCCTCCTGGGGCTCCCCTCCTGGCCGGTTCACATGGCTTTGCAGACAAGCTCATTTCAGGACTGACTTCTCCTCGCAGCCTTGGCGCTGGGGTTCCCAGGAAGAGAGGACTGGGAACCTCGCCCCTCCCATTCCCGCTGCGTGTGCCAGTCCCGTACGTTGAATTTGACTCCTTGAGGGTCTGACCTGATCTGCAGGAGCTGGGAAACCTGGGATACTTTTTGGTTTTATTTTCGTACTGTATTTTTAAACTGTCTTATACCAATTCCAGCTCCTTTGCCCTGATACAATAGTACCATCTCCAGACTTTGAAAAATATAGATAATTCCTAGATTTGACCCAAATATTCTGACTCAGGAGATGTGAGGAAGTGTCTGGGAATCTCAGCTCTGGAAAAAGGACGGCCTGGATTTGACCCTCTGCAGTTCCGGTCTCCCCCTCGTTCTAGAGTGGAGGGCCTGTGCTCAGCTGTGCCCGTCAATCACCAGGGGACGCAGGGCCCCCGCTCACGGTGAGGTGCCCCAGAGGGGCATGCAGAGTCCTGGGGAGGGGCCCTGGGTTCAAGCTTCTGTGCTTGTCTTTTAATCCCAGACACATCTGTGCTTTTTTAAAATATATCACTTCGACAAGTGTTCTAGAAGGGTTGATTGATTTTGTCTTAATTTTGTAAATTGAATAGTCCTTCTTGGAAAGAAAAGAGTCACTCCTTTGTCAATAGTGTTTTGTAAATTTTAGTTGCTCTGGAATGTTCTTAACTGGAGGAATTTCCTTTGTGGAAAACACTGTGTTTACCGCTAGGTGGCACTGCTGCTTCTGTAACAACGGTTCCCTCAGCGCGGGGGGGCGGGGGGGTGGGGGGGTGCCCGGACCTGTTCCGTGTGTGTGTGTGTGTGTGTGTGTGTGTGTGGTTTAGAAGCAACTCTACTGTAAGTTTGTGCTCTATTTTCCATTTTTTTGGCAAAAATAACTTGCAAATGTGGTTGGGTTCCTTGATGAAAGTGCCAAGTGTGGTCATTGGCCTTTAACAGGCGTCTTACGACCAGAAACTCGTCCCTGCGTGTGCTTCTGTAATGAGAAACAAAACAAAAAATGAGGTCAGTGTTGAAATACGAATAACTCAGATGGTTGAGGGGTTTGCACTCCAAATGCCGACCGTGGTTTACTCCCTGTGTTCTTAGCCTCATAGGTGTATCTTTGAATCGTGAAGAAAATTCTCTTCTTCCACCTTCAGAAGGCCTTTTCCTCTTCCATAACTTTGGAATAGTGGTTTTATTAGATAAGCGTTGCTAATAGCATTCTTTGCTGGAACTGTGTTTTCAGCACTAATTTATACACGAAATACCATGTAACTCGGCGTTGGGCTCATCAGACACAATCGGTTAGTTCAGTTCACTATCGTTCCATCAGTGAATGGGTTTGTTATTAGTGCTGTAGTTTGACTTATCCTGCTATAGTTATAGTCTATAATTTGAGGTTTAAAAAATGTAAATAATGTAATGTAGCAATGGGAGAAGTATGTTTTGTGCCTGTAGTTAACACACCATTTAAACTATTTTGAGGCCTTTGGAGGTTTCATTTACCTATTATTTTGAAAACAAAAAACAAAGAAATCTCTTGACCAAGCTCAACATAGAAGTAAAATTTGTCTGTTACGTTTTCTGAAGCAATTTCCTACCAGTGTGTTTGCAAATTCCTCACAGGTCGTAAGAAGATACATCCTGGGTTCCGTTGTCGACAGTGAAAAGAACTATGTAGATGCTCTTAAAAGGATTTTGGAGGTACCTGAATGTCATGTTACAGAATCCACACAGATCTTATTAACATTTTTACGTATTGTGTTTTTGTTACATATATATGTTTATATATATATGAACCCTAAAATACTCAAATTTGCAAAACTCTCAGAAGCGTTTGTCTTGTGTCTGTCTATTGACGTCAAAAGTCACATGATCTGTTCTGACATGAACGTAAGTTACAGCAGTGAATGGCTCCGTCCTCCCCTCTCTGCCCTTCGAAGGGTCTGTGGCATCTTTCTTTCCTTCTCAGCAATATGAGAAGCCGCTGTCGGAGATGGAGCCGAAGATCCTGAGCGAGAGGAAGCTGAAGGTGGTGTTCTACCGTATCAAAGAGGTGCTGCAGTGCCACTGCCTGTTCCAGATCGCGCTGGCCAGCCGCGTGGCCGAGTGGGACGCCGTGGAGACCATCGGAGACGTCTTCGTGGCCTCGGTGAGCAGAGCTCTCGTGCGCTCCAGGCCCCTCTGCCCTGTTTGGGATCTCTCCCTGTGGGTGTCGGTGTCTTGGCCACGAGCCGCGCAGCTCCCCGGGACGGCCAGCAGGAGCGTGCTCTTTAGGGCCAGTCTGAAGTCAGAGTGCTCTGCTCAAAGGGTGTGCACGGGGGAGGGGGAGAGGATCAGGCTGACATCCAGGAAGGAGAAAGAAACGTGCAGAGGCTCGGGGGGAGGATGTGTCTGGAACGTTCCCGAGCGTGCACTGTGTGGCACCTCGATGCATCACAGGCAACCTGATGATGCTTTTCGTGGCAGAGCCAGTGCTCTGCGTGTTTAGGGCTGTCGTGAGGTTGTCCCTTTATGCCTCCAACATTCGTTCACGCCCCCAGCGTGGGCCTCTCTCTTCCTGATCCCCTGCCTGGGAACAATGGAAAACAGCGGGGGGAAGATAGCTGTCTTTTCCTCAGCCTGGTGCTCTTTGACCTGGAGTTTTGTTGTGTAGACAGTCTCAGTCCCTCCATGGGGCACAGGATGCCTGGGGAGCAGCTGGGGGCAGCCACCACGTTCCCGTTTCCCAGCGGGGGACCCGTCAGCTGCCTGGAGACCAGCGGCGCTGTTTCTGCATCCGGCAGTTTGAGTCATTCTATCTCTGGTCCCTTCATGAGTTAGACGTATCGTATATTGGTTAGTTTCTGTCCACATGAAGATGATGGATAAAACAGAATGGATTCTCTAATTGGTTTGACACTAATGCTGTCAAGGAGATGGAAGCTTAAAAGTTTTCTGTGTTCGTGTACTTGAACGAATGCTGTCCTGATGATAGAAGCAGGCTTTTCCTTTCTCCTGTGTAATTTGTATGTGTGCTTGATGAAGTATAAAAATTACTGGCAGCTTTGAACATAGTAAAGAAACAAAATTCTTACTGAAATATTTTTTAATCCCCTTCAGGGATCTGTATGAAAAACGGAAAAGAAATACTGGATGTTTACTTTGTTATTGCATTTTCTGGTTATTTTATATGTTAGCATCAGCTTTTTTACTCTGACTCTCTTAAATATTTCCTTGGGAACATTTTTCTAAATGCAAGAAAAAAATCTTTTTAATATAATTTGGATGACAGCGTCCCTTCTAGAAATGGTAGTCACTCCGGATGACTACGCATGGACGTGGCCGTTCGTCCTCGAGAGTGTGTGGAATCTGAGAAGGGTCACAGGGTGAGGCGGACGTTCCTGCCTCTCAAAACCTCTGTGTTTCTAGGACGAGAGGACAGTGACCGTCCATGGCACTGCCCCTCAGCCTGCAGAAGCAGGGCCAGCTCGGTTTTCTCCCCTCCCGCCCTGCCTCAGTTCCAAGGAATGGTTAGCGCCCACCCGTCAGGGTGCCGGGGCCTCCTCATCAGGGTGTCTGGCCTCCTCGCAGGGTGCCGAGTTCCCCTTACAGGGTCCAGGGCCTCCTTGTAAGGGTCCTGGGGCCTCCTCGTCATAGTATTGGGAGCTCCTCGTCCTCCGTACACCCGGCTGCATGACATTCCTTCCTGGAGGTGGAATCCGCAGGAGGTGAGGGTGGCAGGGATTGGGGGAACCTTGTCTGTAATCGTCATCGTTGCACGTCTGGGTCAGGAACATTCCTTAACTGAAACCAGGCTGCCACGCTTTTGAACAGGATGCCTAGAAGTGGCCTGGGGTCAGCAGCATGAAACCACCAGCCACTTAGCCAATTCCTAACAAGCTAGTTAAAGAGGACAAAATCTCAGACGGTCATCGCAGAGTCCTCCCCTGAAGCGTGGCCGTGAGCGGGCGGCTGTTAGGGCGGGGTCACGTCTTCTCCTGCACCGGGCCGAGGGAGCGCTGGATTCGGCATTATTTCTGTTCCTCCGTCTCCTCCTGTGTTTCAGTTCTCCAAGTCCATGGTGCTGGACGCGTACAGTGAGTATGTGAATAATTTCAGCACAGCTGTGGCCATCCTCAAGAAGACATGTGCGACTAAGCCGGCTTTTCTCGACTTTTTAAAGGTAAGTATTGTGTTCTTTTTCGTGTGGGGTTTCAATACCCTCTGATAACAGGTTCCGTGTCAAAATACTTCCTAGTGAAGTTTTGCCCGACCTTGCCTCTAAATGTCTAGTGTTATTTATTAAAGAGATTTTGGTACCAGGAGTGCTCTCGGTATTGGCGTAATACTGGAAATAGAGATGAACTTTTACCTGTAACATACCTTTTTGACAATAACCTTTATTTGCGCATCCTTAAAAGTGTGTCGCGAGATGGATAGATAGACAGATCAGATCCCGAAGAAGCTTGCCTCTGCCTCCTGTCCTGCAGCGTAATCTTAGGAACGACAGGAACAGAGGCTGTGGAATCTGCCTGGAAGGAGCCCTCTGTGAGGCAGAGCAGTAAGCAAACCCCCCGAGGGTGAGGCCCACGGGGGACGACGTCAGGCCGAGGGGCTGCCCACCCTCCTCAGCAAGGTCTGCTCTGAAGTTGTGGAGAGCTCCCCTAACGGATGCTGCCCTGTGATGTTTAATCGGGGCCAGGGCGTCCCTAGTCAGCAGCTGCCTGTCAGCAGTTGTGACATGAACATGACAGGAGAGCTGGCTGCAGTTTGAACCAAATTAAAATTCCCTTTCCAACCCTGTGGCCCTCGACGGAGCCCAGAGTCTTATTTGATGAGGCTCAGTTTGCTTTAGAAAACTTCAGACCAGAGTGTGTTTCTGCTCCTTGAGCTGTAGCATTCTTGGATGCTCCCGCCTCCCACAGTGAGTGCGCAGAGGGACACGTTCCTGCCGAGGATAAGGCTTTATTTAAGCTGAAGTGTTTCTCCCCCTGCCCCGTTCTCATTAATACGGTGGTTCACGCTACTGCACGAACACGTAGGTGGGATCACGGTTTGCTGAGTGACTCAGTGATCCCTCCTTTGGGGGAGATTGGGACTCTGTGGCCCTTGGATGTCACAGCATTTCTTTTTTTGGGGGAAAGAAAACACGGAGCCATCTTTAAATTTGTTTCTTGTGAGGAGTCTGTTATGGTCTCACTGATGCTGACAGTATGAGAGATGAAAATAGAGGGGGCGACCACAGCCCCACTCGCCAGCTCACCACCTGCCAGGCCCCATGGGAAGAGAGACCTGTCCCGTCCCGTGGCCCCCCCCGGGGCCTGGGCCTCAGGGCAGCTGCGTCGCCTCCGCGCTGGGCTAGCCTGTGCTCTGTGTCCCCACCACGCAGCTCCCGTGGCTGGAGACCCCGCCTGGCTTGTGAATGGCCGCCTGACAGATCATCTCCCGAGCTCAGAGGGGGTCGGGGGGACTCGGGGACAGGAGCCTGGGGCCCTGGGACTTCCTTCTGCCATAGCCCCTCCTGGCAGCCCCTCCTGGTGGCCCCTCGGCCAGAACACCCCGCCCCCTGAGTCCTCCACATTCAGAGGTTTACCCCTCACAAGACGAGCAAGGACCCCACAGAGCATTGGCCCCACATGCACAGGGTCTGCTGCCTTTAAGGGCTGTGCAACTCCCGTTTGGGATCCTGGGGATTTCTTTTTGTAGTAACTGCATTTTCCTGTGGTTGTAGAATCTCAGACACTCACTCAGTCCTTTGAGGACTGAAATCAATTCATAAAGGGAATCAATTCATAAGTGAAGTCAGTTCATCACTGCCTGGCGCTCAGAGGCGGCTCTTAAAGCATCGAGTGAAAACCAGATCGCAGGTTCCAGTTCAGAAACGAGCCGCCACGGCCTGTAATGCAGACGATGGAAGTGTGTGTTTGAGGCTCTGTCAGGTGTAGACAGTGTCTGAGGCAGGTTCCAGCGCACCGTGGCGGGGAGCGGGGCTGGCACGGCCCTGACCCCGAGTGAGCGAGCGCCCTTTCCCCGCAGCAGTGCGAGGAGTCGAGCCCGGACCGCACCACACTCTACAGCCTCATGATGAAGCCCATCCAGAGGTTCCCGCACTTCATCCTGCTGCTCCAGGTACGCGCGTCTGCTCGGTTCCCTGGGGCCATCACCCGCTTTCCCCCGGCCCTTTGGAAATGCGGCTGCTTGTCCATTCTCCAGTGTCTCCTCTGGTCCGTTGCCGGCTCTCAGGCCTCCACGTCTCCCCCCCGTCACAGACCATCAGGGCCAGGGTGGGGGCTCTGCCGGGAGGCTGACCTGCTGGATGTGGCCGGGGACCTTCCCCCAGGGGTCCTCATTCAGTTCAGTGTGACGCCGACGACCGGGGATAGCGTCAGAACCCACAAGTTGGAGGGCTCCATCCCGTGAGAGGGCCCCGCCTCAGACACACCCCTTTACCCACACTTCTGTCCGGCTTGGCTCCCCAGTTGGGGTTCCCTCAGGCTCAGGAATTTGCTAGAGCGACTCACTGGACTGGGGAAGGCACTTTCCTTACTGGGCTACGGGTGCCTGCTAAAGGATGCGCTCTGGGGAGATGCACAGAGCGCGGTGTGGGGAGGGCACGGAGCTTCCACGGCCTCTCTGGGCGCCACCCTCCCCGCACCGCCACCTGCTCACCAAGCCGGACGCTCTCCGGACTGTCCTTTCGGGTTTTCCAGGAGGGTCCACTGCCGGGCATGGTTGATCAGATCGTTGCCTGCCAGTGATTGAACTCAGCCCCTCGTTCCTCACCCCTCCCCAGTGGTGGGGGTGGGGCTGGAAGTTCCAGCCCTCCACTCACGTGGTGGATTCCTGGCCACAGCCCCCATCCTCCAAGACTCACCCCGTTAGCATGAACTCAGGCCTGGTGGAGAGGGGCTCCTCTTACCTCTGAGACTAAGGAATTCCAAGGGTTTGAGGAGCTCTGTTCCGGGCACCTGAACTCATGCTCGGGGTGGGGGTGGGGGCCGGCAGGCAGATAACAGCCCCCTTGTTGGAATCCAGGTCCTGGTCTGGAGTCAGCTGCCTGGATGGGAGCGGCAGGCTCAGGAAGCTGAGAGTGAAGTTAAACTATGTCAGTCGTTAATTCAGTCGACAAACTGTCCCAGGACTGGGAGGCATAGCCTAGAGAAGAGACTTTCCCAGAGATCCTACATTTTTTTTAAACTAGGAATTCTCGATTAGAGACGTTTGTTGTTTGAAAAGCGGTAAGACTGGTTTTGAGTGCAGGCATCGAGTGTCACATCCCGAGTGAGGCATGGTTTGCCCCCTGGCTCGAAACCCCCTCGTCTGCCCCTTAGCTGCAGGCCTGCTCTTAGCTGACTGGAGTGCTGGCAGGTGACGGCCTGTCCTGTGTCCGGCTCGCGGGACGGCCCAGCTCGCTTTTCTCATCAGATCAGAGGACTTTGACTGTTAAAATGATCAAAGGTTTGCAGTGACGTCCTCCTGGAAATAAACTGGCACTTGGGAAATTGTGTGAAGTCCCCTTCCCTTGAGATTTCAGTTTCTTTTGTAACCCACCAAATCTCTGTGAAACATGCACTTTTTGAGTAAAGTAGTCAGAAAGTATGGAAAAAGGATACAAGTGACAATGTTAATACTCACCATTTCTCTGGTGAGCTCATAGGTCATTTTTCATTGTATTCTCTTTTCTCACCCCTTTTCTGATGTATGTCTAGTTAACCTGTATTAGGGTGTTAATAACAAAAGCTGTCTTTTTCCTAAAGTCAAAATATCCAGAAAATGTGTGTTATTCCCTCAATTAACAAGTATTGACCAAGCTCTGGCCACGTGCAGGACGCTCGGCTTCTAGGGAGCCATCAACGACAGGAGGGACAGGCCTCGCATCATGGAGGCCGTCGTTTGGTTGGGAGGAAAGACCTCAGGAAGCCAGTTAGATAGTCATTTCTTTCACTGTGAGTGGGCTAAGTCTCACAAGGGCACGCCCCCAGGTGCCAAGAGATCTCATCCCTTGGGGACCGAGAACAGAGACAGAATGGCCTTGTCAATGGCACAGCGTGAGTTCAGATGCAGACCTGGCCATGGGCACCCGCATGCTGGGGTTGCTCTGGTTCCCATGGTGCCCGGCAGCTGCTACAAGTCCTGACTGTGAGAGCACAGATAGTGTCGGGTTTTCACGTCTCCCCTGAGTACTTTTTATTTTTACTTTATTAAAATTAGATATGATTTTTAATCTAGCTTGTTAGCTTTTGGTTAAATGTTAGTAAATAACAGCAAACTTTGGCCCAGATATTTTTGCAAAATATATCCTTTTAGACAGAAAGGATGGGAGGGCTCTTGGAGAGAGAAGAGAAGTGGAGGCCGTGAGGGAGCTTGGCCCGGGTTGGTCCCTGGGGTCATTCTGAAGAGCGGGGGCGTCATCTGCAGTGCACACAGCCCCGGGGTGAATCGTGCTGGCCTCCAGAGGGCCCCGGAGGGAGGTGGTGCTGCCCCTTTTATGGGCAGGAAACGGGTTTACGGGGGCACTGGGGGGACGCAGTGCAGGGACAAGAGGGTCCTCCCGGGTCTCTGTCTCTGAGTCCACCTCGCGCTTCCCAACCCCTGAGGGCGCCGAGGGCCCTGGGACGGACAGACGCGGCTGATGCGAGGTCGAGGACCAAGCTGTTGGACACGCGTTGCCTGTCTGTTATGAGGTTCAGAACTTAGAGCTTTGTTCTCGGAAGCACCTAACGCTCTTTCCTTTTTTCTTTCTTTCTTTTTATTTACCTCTAGATACTTAAATTCACCGAGGAGGAATAGATAAAAATTCTTACACTCCAAATTCCATTTAGAACAGACTCAAGGATTTGGATTTAAGAACCATTTCCACCAAAAAAGATGCAGCTTGGGGCCAGCCCTGGGGTGTAGTGGTTAAGTTCACGCGCTCTGCTTCCGTGCCCGGGCTTCACAGGTTTGGACCCCTGGTGCGGACCTACACACCACGCATGGAGCCACACTGTGGTGGCATCGCACAGAAAATAGAGGAAGCCTGGCACAGATGTTAGCTCCATGACAGTCTTCCTCAACCAAAAAAAGAAAACCACAAGGTTTCTCTTGGGGTTCTCAGGTCAGGTCCTACATGGTTCTCCCTTCCTCCCTCCTGACCCCTGAACTCCTGTGAGTCCCCACATAGGACGCATTGCTCCCCCAAAGCAGAAAACCGTCTTCCGCTCGACCTGACGGTGCAGCCCAGAAACCAGGCTGGGGGTCCCGGGTCGTGTGAGCAGGTTTCTCTCGCGGGCACAGCCCTTAGGCGTTTTTGGCCATGTGCAGTCCATTCATTGCGGGGGTGGCTCACCCAGGGTGGGTGCAGGTTACCCTGTTCCTCTGGGAAATGGGCAATTGGAGTCAGAGACAGTGCAGTTTCTATGCCTGAGGTAGTTACGAGGCTGTGCCCAGGACCCCGTCTCCCAGCTCAGGATGCCGGCTTGGGTTTGGGACAGCAGACAGGACAGGCTGGCAGCCACGGGCAAGCGCTCACCCTCCCTCCTGAGTTCTGCTGTGGTCCGTGTGCCCTGAGGGTGGTGGTGGAGGGGATGGCACCGCGGGGCCAGCGTGCCCTTCCTTCCTTGGGCCCATCGGGCACGCTCCTGCCTCTCCTTGGCTCTGCCCTCTGTCCTGACCACATCTGATCCTCGTCAGCTCTTCTCTGGTCTTATTACTTATCGTCGCTGTGACCCCACAGCTGTTCCCTGGAACTCGAGATGAAACTGACTTGCCCCTGGCTTTTCTGGGCCTGCTGGTTTCCAAGTGTGGTCCAGAAAGTATTGTCTTCCTTTGCCCCAGCTGCCACCGTGTCTTGCGTGTTGTACCAAAGTAAGTACCAATCTGGTAACAACGACAGCAAGCTCCCCTTTTGTCGCTCTGTGCCTTCCCCCTTGAGTCAGTGGCTCCTCCCGCAGGTCTGCTGTGCTGCCTGGCTTTCAGGCGTGCGAGGCTCGTCCCGTTGATGGTGTTCTGACACCCGTGTGCGCCCTCCCAGTGCGCGACGTGGGCGCCAGCATTGGTTTTCAGGTTATTCATTTTTGCCTTGATAGGATTTGATGCGATTCATAGAGAAACAAACATATGGAACAGTATGTACTGTTCATCCAAACCGGAAACGTTTCCTCATCTGTGCGGTGTTTGTTGTCTTCTGATCAAACAAACCAACAGGTTTAAAAAGACCCGGGCCTGTTGAATTCAGGTGCTGCTCCAGCCCCTGAGGATGGGTGGGCAAGACGAGGAGCCCTCTTAGTTCTGAGCAGGGGTGTTTCACAGTCAGGGTCTCCCTCCTTCAAGTGTCAACACGCGGTCTGCATGAGCAGGGTGAACACTGTAAGGTGCAAAATCGAGGAGACGAAAATAGTGCCTGTCACTTAGATGTCACTCTTGAAGGTTTGTTAGTGTTGGACACACGCGATGTCGTTTTACTGGGAACCGTATTGTCGCTCCGGGCCGTGCCACTTCCCTGCTCCACCTCAGGCCTCCCTGACTCTTCAGAGATGCTCGGAGAGGTGCCGGGGAGGGGGCATCCCGCAGAGATCCCTCTGCATGGGCTGCAGCTGTGGGGGCAGCAGCTGGCCCAGCACACACGCCCCACGTGTCCCGTTTGGAGACTGGCCTGTTGATCAAGTAGCTGGACCCACCTCTGGGGCCCGGGTCCATGAGGCTGACTCACGTTGAGAAAAAGTCTCGTCATCATCTTGAAGACAGTTACAGAGAGAAAAGCATTTGAAGACTGTGGCATGTTGGTATTTATAGGGTGGTTTATTGGAAATGCTATTTTTTCCCGTTAGCAATGCCATTTCATACATCAGTTTTTTTTGCAAAGGAGTTGTTCAAATGTTCAGCCAAATCGTGATTTCCCAGTGCTTGTGTCCTTCTTCCCCAGAAGTAGCTGATGTCACTGCCGTCCCCAGTCGCCAGCTTGGGAGGGATGCAGTGTTGGGTTGGAAGTGTGGATGCGACGCCCGGCCGCTTCCCCCGACACCAGCCGTCACACTTGTCCCGTTTTACTTGTTTCCCCAAAAGGACATGTTGAAGAATACATCCAAAGGACATCCCGACAGGCTGCCCCTCCAGATGGCGCTGACGGAGCTGGAGACGCTCGCGGAGAAATTAAATGAAAGAAAAAGAGATGCTGACCAACGCTGTGAGATTAAGCAGATCGCGAAAGCCGTGAACGAGAGATACCTGAACAAGGTGGAGAGATGTCACCAACTCTATGCTGACATTACTTTCGCTTTGTACTAATCAGCACCGTTCTGTCATCCATTTATTACTAGTCTTCCGGGACCTTTGGAATAACCCACTTGGCCCAGAGTTCCTAACTGGTGGGTGATGGAGATCCTCAGGCGGGTTGCGAACCCAGGGAGTTGTGCACAAAGCCTCCCTAGTCAGTGTGTGTGCGTTTTCTCAGGAAAGGGGGTCACAGACCCATTAGGTCCTCAGATGGATCCAGGACCCCAGAAAGGTTAAGAGCAACTCCTTTAGCTTAATTTTACCTTCAAAATGCAGTATTTCGTTTCAGATGTTCGTAGTTAAAGAATTAAATATTTACACACATTTTTATTTGTAATCATCTATGCATGGATTTAGCTGTATTTGTCAGGAAAAAGTGATGCAAAATGAAGGATGAAAGCAGTTCCTTAAAAACTGTATTTCAGCTTTACATTTACAGAATCATTTTCCCGCAGCAATCATCTGATTTCGTGTAGGCTTTACCGTATTTATTTAAGGCCCTGGTCCACAGGAAGAGGTTAATTGATATGAGCTGTGTTAAATAATTACATATATTCATTGTTGCTAAAATCACCTTTTGTTGTTGTCAGTAGAGGTGATTTCCTACCATATAGTAACATTCAGTAATTTAACTATAAGAACTTTATAGTAATAACATCTTAAACAGCAGGCTTTCCCTGATTCTACATATGATTTATATAGGAATTTTTACAAACAGAAAATTGCATTGTGATATTATCGACATGGTTCATGTTGTTTAAAATCATGCTTCCCATGAATGTTTGAAAGCATGTGGGACAGTGAGCTCAGGGGCGTACGAAGAGGCAGCGATGCGTCACTTACTGTGACATCATGGTACATCACATGGTAATGTGCACCCACGTTATTGATTACTCGCCTGAGCACGTCCGGGAAAGGTCACCAGTGAGGTCAGCCAGCCCGTGCAGGTTTAGAGTCAGGAGGCGGTAGAGACCATCTGGGCTACATAGAAACTTGTCAGTCTGTCTTCTCTATGACTTACATCATTTTACGAATTAATACAAAGTTTCTTTCCAAAGAACCAAGGGTATTTTGTTTGGCTCAGTGAGATAAAATATGTCATACCAGATGAAGTTAAGATGTTTACTTAATTATGCCATCCTTTGGGGAAAGTAAATTTACAAAATAAGTGCTTTGGCTTATAAACATCCCCAGTTGATACAATGCTATAAACCACAGAACGGTCGGGCTGTGGGATGACCGTCTGTGAGGGGGGAGCATGTTCAGAGAGGTCACTGAAAGAGAAGGAAAGTGTGGAATGACAGGTCAAGGCAAGTGAAGCCAACCTCTCTTAGCTACGGTCGTGTTTACAAGGGGACCTTAGGTTCCTCGCTCTGTTTAAGATACAACTGCAAACACTGTAACACGCGTAGTTTTTAACAAGCCGCTCTGAACTCTGTATCGTGGGTACAGGAAGCGGGAGTGGGAGGGCGTGGGTTCTCTTTAAAGGAAAATGTCTGTAGAGCTTCAACGCTGTATGCTCACATGTTTTGCAAGACTTTTTCCTCGTCCTTTTTCTTTTTCTGATCAACTCGATTGTGATAACTGTGTCGAGCGTTACTTTGAATATTCAGCTTCTCAGCAGTGGAAATCGATACCTCGTTCGATCTGACGATATGATAGAAACAGTTTACAACGACAGAGGAGAGATTGTTAAAACCAAAGAACGCCGGGTCTTCATGCTGAACGACGTGCTGATGTGCGCCACGGTCAGTGCCCGGTAAGGATCTTGCCTTTGTGATTACATGCGATCTGTGTCTCAGATGAGCGAGTGACTTCACTAGTTTTCTCATTCAGACTCAGCTGATATCTGTGCAGGACTTGGTCCTACGATTAAGGGATACCTTACACTAAACAAGCTTTTTTTGTTGTTGTTGAGGAAGACCGGCCCTGAGCTAACATCCATGCCCACGTTCCTCTACTTTATATGTGGGACGGCTGCCACAGCATGGCTTGATAAGTGGTACTAGGTCTGTACCTGGGATCCAAACCAGTGAATCCTGGGCCACCGAAGTGGAGCACGAGAACTTAACTTCTGCGCCACCAGGCCAGCCCCTAAACAAGCTTCTTTTTAAATGAGTTCAGCATAAGTTGCCAAGACCCTGCGGGTAGAAATTAGGGACTTGTATGTATATTTTCTCTTTAAACAAGGCTGATGTTGGAACTGGAAGCTGAATTGAGATTCTTTTATAACCCTCCCAAATCATTCTACAGCTTTTGTTTTTGTTGTTGTTCAAGTTCCTTCTCGTTAGCTGCTTCTCTATAAATATATTTTTGATAAATTTGTTCTTATATTTTGGGTACAGTCGTATGTAGTGCACACCAAAAAAATGAGTAAATAGCACTTTATCAGTTGTTACACTTAAAATCATTTTACATCAGAATTGTTCTCCAATGCAGAGAATATTGTAGTTGGTTGAGGATATTTGAGAACTTCAGAGGTCTTCACATACAGGCTGATTGTAAGGGAATTGGTATAAAATTGAATATAATGCTCTTGGTGCTAAATGAGTAACAAGCTGCAGCAGTGTCCTGGAGCCAGCTCATAGTGGCTTGCAGGGGTCGGTGGTTAAATTTTCAGGAGTTTTGGGAGCAGGTTGCTAAACCATTGGTAGCTTGAAATCATCCACAGTGGGAGTATGTACACCATGGAAATTGGCCAACATGATGAATCAGGGTCCTCTCCTCCAGTGGGAGCCCGTTGTTAACCATTTACCAGCACAGCACTAATCAGCGTCACGTGGGTCCAGCGCCCCACCCTCCGCCACGCTGGAGTCCCAGCAGGGAGGCCGAGTGGATGGATGTGTGAGAGCTCACACTGGGCAGCTGGACTTCTTACAGCCGAGTTCCAGCTCCCCCTCCTAGCCCAGTCTCCCTAAACTTCAGGCTCCTCATCTGTAAACTAGGGATGACGATCGATCGTAAAATGAGGACGATGACGATCTCTGGGGCTCCCGTGGGGGCTGAGCAAGAACGTGCACTGGAGCTGCAGGCCCAGCGTCCGGCCCGGAGGACTGCCCAGTGAATGTCGCTCTTCTCACTGGTCCGCGTCGCTCACTTTGTGGCAGCTACAGATTCAGTCTGGAAAATGTACCAGAATTAACAACCCCCCTTTTGTAAAGGATCCTGCTAGATTCTTATCGATGGCCCAGCCCTTATCCTTGAATTAGCCGTTGCCACACTGGGACGTCTGGATGCCCGTGTTGGGCACGCTGCGGTCCCACGTGTAGGAGTGGAAGCCAGTTGCTCTCGCGCTTTGGAGATGAGCCGACTCAGTGAAGCTGTGGAAGGGCCTGACTTTGGTGTGCTGGCTTTGACTGCTCTCGAGAGGTTTTTAGAATAAGTATCATGAATAAGACCTTTCTATCCTGTTTCTCCCGTATTATGGGATGCTTCCTGCAATATGGAGACTAAGAACTTAGCAGGATGGTTTCCAGGCTCAGCTGTCCAAGAGATGGCCCCTCTCCTGTTAGCTCTCCCTGCGCTGGCTCTGGACGGTGCCCCTCAGCCCGCATGCCCCCACCTGCCTCGGGAACAACAGAGATGGAAGGCAAGATGCTGTGTGTTCATTGCAACGGCTGATAGACAGCAGAGTCTCTGCACTGTAGGAGTATCTTCTGGAATGTTCTTTTTCCCCTTTGTGATCGACCTTTGTCTGAATATAGCAAGAGGACTGACCACCGCACAGGTCACTGCTGTGTCTGGGCCGGCGGCCCATGTGCGCGCTGCACCAGAGGCCCCTGTCTGAAGTGTGGCCAGGTGTCCAAGTGTCAACTTGGTTCTTCTGAAACTTCACTTAGTTTTAGAATTCTCAGGCTGATAGAAATGATGTCCTCTCAAGATGGATAAAAACGGATACCTTGGAAGTCAGCTGTGTTTACTACCGGAGTTTTCCTTAAAATAACGCCCTGCCCTCTGGGGCGGGTCCCATGTTCTGACAACTTCTTTACAAAGTGCGGTAAAGAGGAGCAGTTCGTTCCCACTGATGTGTCAGCAGCCTGAGATTTGCAGCGACGCTCCCCGAAGGTGACGAAGTGAGGACCCATTTTGGTTTTAGGCTAAAATGTTAAAAATAGCCTCCAAGGACCCCTGCGTAGCCTCTGAGGACATCAAGCTCCCAAACCTTTATAGGATTGAAGATTTTAGATTCAAACAGGAGGAATGGAAATTTTGGTACAAATTCGTGGGCATCTCCATTTTTTTAAATTATTATTTAAGGCACACTCTAATTCACAGAATACAGAATCAATTTTACTTCTTACTCAGTGTCTGATTGTGTTTCCTCCTCCTCTTCCCATGGGGTTTGGAGGTTGAAATGGAAACTGAAATCCTCTGATAATGGAGGGAGGCTGCGTAGCCTGGGTATAAATTGTCTCCCCATCCGTGAAGTATTTCAGTTTAAAACATAGCATCTGGCATTTTTTTTATTCCTGTCTACATTTTGATTTTTAAAAATATATCTTGAAGAAAAGCAAAATGTGTTCATCACCAGAAGTAAGAATAACGATTGCCCTGGACAGGTGGGGTTTTCCTGGGCACGTGGAGGGCTGGGGGTGCTGATGTGCGTGGCCGTCCCACTGATGTTTGCATTAGCATCTCCCACCTGACTGGTCCAGGTGTGTTCTGTGTGTTTCTCTGCATGTATGCATTCCATTTTATGATGAAAGAAGAAAATCTATATGGGTCATGGGATTTTTAAATGTAATTTCTACATACTCAATAAGTATTTTAATCATGGAGTAAAATGCTGTGATTTAATTTTATTAAAATGGTTATATTATAACCAAGAGTACAGAAGAGATTTTAGAGTCTCTAACACATATGAAACAATTAGAGAAGATGTCTATCCACATGGGAGGTATTCCCTGTTAGTAGCATTCGCCCAAATGCTCAAGCATCTTTGCTCAGCCACCAGGAAGCATTCACCTTGTCCCCTTTACGCTGTTGTGGAAACCTTGAGGCTTTCTGGGAGATGCGCCTTTCACATTCTCCCGTGTTTTCCGCATTAGACAATGGAAAGTCCTCCCCTGTCATCTAATTGGAGGCCTCATTATGGAACCAAATACTAACTATTGGCAAGCAAGTCAGAAGCACTATGATTCAACAGCTCAAATGTTTCTCACTTGAACATCTAAGGGATAAAAATTTCATGACTTCTTCATAAAATAAAAATTTCTGGTTGTTTCAGCACCTCGCACGACACCAATGCTGTAATATCAACCAGCCAAAGGTATTTATTGAAGTGGAGTGTTCCTCTTGGACACGTGGAGGTCATCGAGTACGGCAGTAAGGACGGCGCAGGAGAAAACAGCAGGTGTCCGCCGGTGCACCCGCCCGAGAGCCTGGCCGTGGTGGCCAACGCCAAGCCGAGTAAGTGACGCCTTTATCAGCGTGCTCGCAAGTCGTGGGGCTGGCGTGAGCTCTGGCGAGACTAGACTCGCATTCCTCAGCCTCACTGCTTCAGCAGACAAGGGTGAAAGGTGGATCTGCTGGGTAGTCCAGGCTTTGGCATCTGTGTTTTATGTTGGCCGGGAATGTAGACAGATGTGCCACGTTGGTTGCTGATCTTGGAACTTGTCCCTGCTTGGTGTGCGTGCATCCTTGCGTTTGTAGGCAAGCCCTCCTGCCGTGTGGGTGTGTTCCGTCTTCCAGTCCCGATTTCTGTTCCCCGTCTCCTGGGAGGCACTTCGGGCTCCGGCTCTCCTCCCTCGAGTGTGCGTTGAGTTGCTGCAGAGGAAGTCCTGGAGAGCGTGGACCAGGGTTACGGGCTCAGCTCTGCCGCGAACCAGCTCATGAGCCGTTTCCCTCTTCCTCAGTCTCCCCGAGGAGAGGCTCGTGTGTGCGCCTCACAGGGTGACGAGGGAGGAAGCTGTCAAGACGCTTTGGAGCTGCCTCAGCAGTCGCCTAAGGGTTACGGTTATTAGTACTAAATGGTCTTCAGACTCTGGGTTTGGAACGGAGTATAGTGATCATTTCCTTCTTCTCTCTCTCTTTTTCTTTTAAATCCAAATAAAGCCTGGCTAATTTTATTCACCCTCTGGCCTCTGCCCCTGAGTTGTGGAGCACATAAAATACAGTGAATGGGAACTTTCAATAAACCTTTTTATGTATTAAATGAGCCTTTATAATTAAATGTTAATAATGTTAAATACAAACATATGCAATAATCTTTCAGAATATTTTGTTTCTGACATGTTCAGCTCTTAAAACATTTACTTTTCCAAACTGAATATTCACATTTTTTTTTGGATTTACAGAACATGACGTAATGAACATTGGGTCTAACTTAATATGGGGTCTCTTTTATTGTTCCTGTTTGTGTTCGTAGTCATTCAGTTGGGTATCTGCCTAGTAAACTAGTTCCTCAAGCGTGTTGTACAGCTCTTACACTCTTGAATTGCTGACTAAGTCATACTCCTATTTGAAGTAATATGCATACCGTCTAAACTGAGAATCAAAGTGCCAAACCGTATCTCAGGTTTTCGGAAGGAGGGACACGCTGAGGAGTGGGATAGAGAGGGGGAAAGGGAAGGAGAGACAAGGGGTTTTCCAAATTGACACGGTTAGTTACAATTTTACTCAAGAGCAGCTTAAAGGTCTGGTTTGTTAAAAGTTCTTAAAAACCTATTTAGATTATTTGAAAGTATTGATTGCAAATCATATTTACGTCTTGGTTTTGAGAAGTGAAAAATGCACCTGTGTTTTATATTGGCCGCCGTCTTACGTGTTATACTTTTGTGTACTGTTGTAATTAAGATTGCATCATTGTGTTCAAATCACTGAAGATGGCTTTGATCCATAAAATAGATACTGTGCATTACAGGCAATGCTACATTTTCTTATTCATCTTTTAATTCATGACTTACACCGAGCTAACTTAGGATGAGATTCGAATCCGTTAGCAGTATTAAAAAGCATAAAGCAGGATGACTAAATTTTTTAAATAGTACATGGAAGAAAGAACCTAGAATAAGTCCGCTCCTGCATTTGAGCCCTCAGTGCTACCAGGAGCTTTCCAGCAGCCACGGCAGATGGAGACACATAGTTCCCCTTGTCTATTAAAAGAAAATGTGTCTTTTTAGAGAGTCAATCTTTTTCTTCCTTCTGAATTTAAGGAGAGCTTTGTCGTCATATCCCAGGTTAAGGGGATTAAGGGGACTTTTGGAAACATTTGTGACTGTTTTCCAGACTCGCCATGGTTTCATTATCGTGTCCCTATGAACAAGCGAGGACAGAACCTCAGTGAGAGCCATTTTTGAGGCAGCATCTTTTTGCACATTGTCTTAAACAGAGAGTTTAAGGGAGAAACTTGTTCTGCCCTCGGTAGACCTTTGTTCTGCTCTGTTGTCAGGGTGGAACCCACACCCTGGGTGTAACCTGTCTAATCTTTGTCATTTCCTTCGAGGGTGGAGCACAGCACCTGTCAGGTGACCTGTTAGCATAGTGACTGACTTGAGGAAATTAAGGTACTTAATGGTCACTTGATGCATATACGAGGGGCTTTGTCTGAAGTTAGTTAATTCTTCTCTTGCTAATCTTGCCAGAGTGGTGTCCCTCCTGGCTTGTAGCTGGGTATGCAGTAGGTGCTCAATAAATACTTGCTCAGTGAGTGGAAAGAAAAATAGAATCACTCGTCACTGTTAAATTTGCAATTAAAGTGTCTTTCTACCTATCCCTTTATCAAAGGCCTGTTCTAAACCCAGCGCCATGTCCTGGTAATAAGGCACAGACCGGGCCTCTCATGTTGGAGACAGGTGTATTGACATGAGTACAACACAACACGATACATACCCTGAAAGAAACACGGGCGGGATACTTTGGGGGCTGAAAAGGAGGTGATTTTCTCCGAGAAAATGCCTGTTGTAAAGAAGGAGTGGGATTTCAATAGATGGGGGTGGTGCATTGACTGATTGATTGATTCATTCAGCTGATAGTTATTGACCAGCCCGCCACGGCCGACACCTGCCCTGGGGGCATACGACGGAGCATATGACAGAGCATGTGTGTCCAGGGCGTGGCGAGCGGTTAAGTGACTAGAACCTTCGCAGCCTGCGCCCATCCCTGCAGATCAAGGGGTCCCATGGTTGTTTATTCATGGGATCTGGTTCCATCCACAGGAATATAGAACTGAAAGAAGCTCCTAGGTTATCCTCTGGTTGCGTAGGACAGTGAGAAGCTCAGCTCCGGCTTCACGCTCGGCGAGATGGCCAAGTCTTTAAAGGAAGGACTCTAAGACCTTGAGTGTGTGCCGTGCAGACTCCAGAACCTGAGACGTTGCTCTGGAGACTGTGAAGCCCCCGTTCCATCTTCTTCTCATTATCCTCTTACTCTCATGGTTTCAATTACACGCGTGGTCGGACGCCAGGAGAACAAAGCCTGGGGTCAGAGAAAGAAAAGAAAAGAGTTGCTCATAAACTTGGTAAATATCTGTCCCTTGGAACCAAGAAGAGCAGAATGCAGGTCTTCATCAGGGTTTGGGTAATGCCAGCCTCTCGAGGACGAAGAATTCACGTGCCTGTTCATCCATGGAGGGATCTCACGTTGACGGATTGTGACAGGAAGAGTCTGACTGGCATCATCTCGATGCAGCTTCCAGATGGAACGGCCCCCCGGGGAGGTGGTGTTCTCAGTCCAGATGTCCGGGGAAGGGCGCTTCGCAGAGCCCCTGCCCGCTCTCGTGTTCAGGTTTCCTGAAACTATTCTTTAGTAATCTCAGTTCTGGGTTAGGCGTGTTACTTTGGCAAGCATTTATTTTTTTTATGATGGTATTCCCATACAATTCACCCAGTTTAGGTGCACGGTGGTGTGTTCCCTTGGAGGTGCCAATTGGACAAACAGTTCGAGGGCCAGGAGGCCGCTGGGTACTGAGTCTGGAGTTCAGATCGATACCGATGTGGGGTCCTCGGCCCACAGACGCAGTCAGGGCCGCGGGAGCAGGTGTTCGCCTGGGCTCCTGGTTTAGCGATGCACCACTCGCTGTGTGGACCTCAGCACCTCAGTTTTCTTACCCATAAAGTAGGTTTAGTTTTTAGCCCTGAAAGGAGGGATGTGGAGTAAATGCACTTCAAAATGCCTTCTAGATTAAAAAATTTTTTTAATACAGTAACTAAAATTTACTGATTGCTTATGTGTTGGAAGACTGAACTCCAGTCAGAATTCGCTGGGGCTTTTTCAGACTCCAGTAATAGAGTATGATGCTGTCTTGCGGTCACAGAGGTGCTGGGATGGTCAGCCTATTCACTGGCATGTTTCGAGCTCTGCTAAAGGATTTATCCTACTGTCCAGATTGATCCAGGATAGAGGGACGGGCTGTCACTGGGGACAGATAATGAGCTGGTCTGTGCGGTAGCAAGTCCAGAGTATTGATCTCATGAGCACCAGGCTGCAGCCGATGGGTTCCTTACTGTTTGTGCAGATGGAGCCTGGTCCCATCCCTGAGCCACGGTTTCCTGGGGCTGCCTCCTGTGCTCCGAGTTTTATAGAGGAGCTTGAGATTTACCCGCCGTGCTTTTGTTTCCTCTGATTCTCTTGCATTTGTCATCTCTCAGTTATTCTGAGAAGCCGCGTTAGCAATTCTCGTTCTGAGTTGATATTCATATGACTTTTCTGCTCTTTGAGTGACTGTGTTCTGAAGTTCAGTCCTGGAAATCTGGTCTGTTATTCAGTGTTGAAGACAGTGTGGGCGTCGCTGCCTAGCACCCGCTGTCACCGGGGCCCAAGGCAGCCGCACGTGGGAAGCCCCTGGTCCCCCCGAAGAGCACCGTGTGGTGCTTTGCACTTAGTCTCCCTGAGTTGTGACTTTTCAAAAGCACTGACCTTTGCTCTCTAGTGCAGGGGGCTTGCAAGCTGGGGTCCGTGGGTCCTCTGGGCACCCACGGATTGGTTTAAGCTTGCAGACCTTCTGAGCTTATTTGACAAAATTCTGTGCGTTTTTCTGGGGTGATCAAAAAGATTTCACTGCTGTCCTGAATTGGGGCTGGTGGTGGGGAAGAGAAAGACTGCGCCGTCCACTGCCCCATCCTGTCTGAGGAGGTGGGTTGATGAGAAAAGACGTTTCCCTTTTGCCAGGAGGAAGGTGACTCTGTAGAGTGTATCTTCATGCAGGATCCTTATAACCTCAACCCAGTTTCAGCAAAAAGCCTCTAATGCGCTCCCAGTTGGCAAGGAACTGTGCTGAGCAGGACGTGGAAGTGAGCGGCATGTCATGAGGACCCCACTCTGCGGGACCTCCGGTGGAGGAGGTGAGTTGCATGGCGCCCCTCGGGCTGGGGTCCCCGAGTCGTGTTTCAGGAGACGGCGGCTGGAGAACCACCATCACCAATCTTTTAAACGCTTCCCAAGGAGAAGTTCTTAAAGTGTTTCAAGAAGTG